GAGTTGGTCAGCAGGTTTTGAAATTAACAGCACAGAAGGCACCTCCGATGCTGCATCCAAACGCTGAGAGCCTGAAGAAGGCTGTAGGTGGGAGGAGCTTTATTGCTCTTAAGTACATGTAGACTTAGGTTGTTGGCCTATGCAGCCAGGAAATCAACACTTATATTTGTATTCATTGGGAGCTTTGTGTAGGGGAAAAAACAGATTTCATGTAGTGGTTGAGATAATGTCACCCACGTGTTCAAATCCTGTGCAAGAGATCTTAACATACAGCATACAAATAGGACATAATAGACGGATATGAATTTGGGTGCTACCTAAATAAAAAGGGAAGGGGGAATTAGAAGCAGCAACATTGCCCTAGTATTCATCACTTTTAAGCATTTTATTCTTATAGTCTTATTTTCTCTTACATTAGTCTATTGATACAAAATAGTGTAAAAGTAGTACATTTTAACTTTTGTTTCTTGATTTATTTTTTTTTTTGTCTTACCTCATTTGCTGAAGTGGTGAAGTGGGGTAGAGTGTTTGAAACACTTCCTTCCCAGCTTGATTCATGAAACTCCTTCCTAACTCACCTGATTATGCAGTTCACAAATAGCATTAACTAGGGGAGTTGACGTTATTTTGTCTGTGTATTTTGAAAAAAAAAAATCAAGCTGCTTTCTTTGAAAATGTTAACTATGAAAGTTTAAATGTTCATTTTCAAAGGCTACCAATTCAGATGTTTAACTGGATATTTAACAGCTAAGTGCCTGACTTCCCTGTAAGCCGAGGCTATTTTATTGCTTTAAACTGCTGAAAAGATACTGGGTAAGTTGTACCTGTTGTCTTAACCTCAGACATTGGTTTGCAGCGATGAAAATTCTGATCAGTGGTGTCTGGAACCAGAGATTTGTAATTGGCTGAAGAAAGCGGTCTCCGCTGAGAAGATGATTGCACTTTCTGAGATATTTCTCACTTTTAGTATTTGTATAGAATTTCCAGTGCAGGATGTAGGATCTCAGCTTTCTGCAAAGTGCTCTTGTATATTAGTTTTAGCACCTGTGAAATTGAACCTGTGTTTTGCAATGGTCTTCTGGGCTGCCAGTCTCCGTTCCTTCCCCTCACCTACAGCAGGAAAAATAACTGCAACAATAGTTTTGGCTGATAATAAAATGAGGATTTGGAAGAAGATGTACAGTGAGTCCAGTATGGGGTGCACAAGTATGGGCGAGTGATTGTCTCTTCCATGAAAGATTTAATGCTGTGCAGTTCAGGTTTTTAGAGATTAATTCATTTCCTGCTAAGCCGTATTGTTAGTAAACTGACATCAAGAGGAGCAAATCTGGCCTGAGAGGTTTTATTTTTACAATTCAATGATATATGTAGTAAGTAGCTCAATGAAAGTTAAGGCTTATGGCTTTGATTAGGTAAATGTGGAAGATGGGTCTATGCCAAAATGAGTCAACAAAAACTTTAAACTGTATATTATTTTGCTTTTCTAGAGCAGCATTCCTGAAATTTTAATCAGGACGTTTCAGAGAGATGTGAAGCGTTAGCAGAACATTTTCCTCTCCTTGTCCGCCTTTTATTTGAGGCTGTCAATGAAGGTTTGGGGATAGACAATTCAGGAGACAGTGCGTTAATCTTTTAATAGTTTTGCCAAATTCTCAGTGTCCCAAATGTCTAGACTCACATCTTAGACAACTCTTCAATGTGAAAAAATACATTTTTCTTCCCAAAGTCAAGTTTAGCCTTTTTCTTCTGCCACGTGTTACGAATATTTTTTTTCTAATCACATGCTTAACGGTTTGTGTACTTAAAATGTACAATTTAAACATTGGTTTAATTTCAACAAAGCCATATAATCCTTGAAAGTTTTATGGGTATCATCTATGCTGTTTTCCCCTACCTTGTTTTCCTCTGTCCTGTTTTCAAACTATGTAATGCAAGTTCCTCTTCTATCTGTCACACATCTTATGTGTGAAAAATTTCACTATGTAAATCTAAAATAGGTATATTTTCGGTTTTGCCTCTCATAAGTACAGATGAATACTGTACTGTAACATGTTTATCCTTTTCCTTAAAGAACAGATTTTGCAGCAAATATGCATTATTTACAAATAAATATCACAAGTTTTGTAGTGCTAGGTATACATATATGCTTGCATAGAGAATATTAGAGACATTGTAGCTCAGAAAATTGTATGGCTTTATCTTGTCTGTAATAGTGTGGGGTTTTTTGATAGCGTAATGCTTCCAAAACTTCCAATACACAATGCAAATAGCGTATCTTGTTTTTCAGATACGATAAAATGAAACTTAATTCACTAAGTAAAATACGAGTATAGGTTTTACAGCAAATATTCTTCTGACATCTAATTTTCAAGCTTTTTTTCTTTCATGGACAACAGTTACACGAACAGTTATACTTCAGTTTATGCTGAAAATGCTGCTTTTGATACAGAAGAGTGCAGTGACTTCACATACATTGTTACTTCCACAGTTTTGTCATTGACTCTTCCTTGTGCCATGATGTTAGTTACTGAGAGGGATTAAATCATTTCAAAAACAGTAACATTTGTACTGCCTTTGTGTACATTATTACATATTTATATACATATACCTTTATGCTGTTTGCCTAATCTGAAGAGTGTAAGTGTTGCCAGTGTTTCACCACTGATTCTAGCAAATGTGACCATTACATAAACAACAAATAAAAATCAGATCTTTAAAAGGAAAATAATGCTTTGAAGTTACTTTTTGCCCTTTCATATGGTCTTAAATGCCAGATCTTTCCTGGAGAGAAAATTGATGTGGTTTGTTTGTGGGATTTGCTGTTTGGTAAGCAGCTGATGCTGCTAAGGAAAAGTTCAGCAGTGTAAAAGATGGATGTAAAAATTAGGTATGTAAAAAGTACTGTGGACCTGGGTAAATGTATCCCCATTGATAAACATCATTAGCTGTTCCTGAAATCCTTCATTGCACAGAGTTATTTGACATGATATCAGTGAGTTGATTGTTTGAGGACCGTACTTCAGCTAGCTCTTGGTACATAATTTGAGTTGTAATGTTAAGCTGAATAAGAGCTGTGCTCTTCTCTGCTTCCGTCAAATCTCGGGGGGTGACTGAGTTTGTGTGGGTTATGTTGTTTTAATCAATAACAGACTTGAGTTTCCTTGGTACTGGCACAGCTGAAATAGCGGGTACTCCTGTTTTTGCTGTCAAAACATATCAAGGCAAGGGAAAGACATTGACTATTAAATGCATGATATGCCAAAATTATAAAATTATCCCTCCAGTTTTGCTGAGTCACTGGACATTTCCCTGGAACATGCATGGCTTTGTTAGTGTCTGCTTGTCTGAGGATGGTGTGCTCTTCCTTCCATACAACGTGCCTCACTTTCAGCCTCAGGTAGCAAAACAAGTCCTTTGCTCACAGTTTTTCTGTGTGACCAGATGGGCCCTTTTAGGACACACTGGCAGATTAGTAAATTTCTGTTTCTACACAGCACTAACTCTGTACCTCTCTCCTATTACTTAAAATGCATTGAAGTAGTTTACCTGCAGTGGGCATCAAATTTTACTCCAGCTAGTAGGCATGCTTTATAGAGAGAGCCTTTTGGTCTGGCCTTGAGTTCTACCACATCTGCTGGTTTGTGACAAGACACTGCCCAGTTGTTGTTTGGCTTCCTGGTTGTTCCAGGGGAATGGACAGTTTCCTGTACTTATCTCTGTGATAAGGCCTCAGTTCCTGCCAAATGATAGGTGCTACTGTAATTCTTTTATAATTTATTTCAGTAAAAACACTGCATGACACCTGCCCATTAATTGAAGATGATACTGTGATGAACTTACAGTCTCAAAAAGTGATGGCAGTCCGACTAACCGTACCAGTGGGATTGACTGGATTTATTTTTTAATATTTTAACCTCTTAACTGGAGTATGGAAGGCTGAAAAAAGACAGAACTTTTGTAGTGCATTTCAGTAACTTGGGTCCATATTTCCTTAGCTGTGAATTAGTGTGAGCACAGTGCAGCTGGTATGGCAGTGGTTCACTGGAACTGTGCATAGGTTAAACTTCCCCAGTCTTGGAATTACTCTTTTTTGTTTCCTGCATTGTAATTAGAAACTGAATTAATCAGATTCAGTCACTGCATTTGTTTGCCCCTTGACCATACTTGTGTGTAAGACAGCAGTGAAATGTGATGGGTGTAAAACTGTTCTTTGGGCTGCTGCTTACTCCTTATGGCCTGTTGCAGCTTGAGAGTACCTTTTTTGTCCTTCTTGTGGACCTTTTAGCTCACTGTAGTAGCTCATGGGTTTAAATGGAAAGGTCATAGCAGTTGAATCCCCATGATTGATGACTCACACTCTTGTCTTATAAATCCCTGTGAACCATCAGGAAGCAAACACTCCACAGTTTATCTGAGCATAAATGATTTAAACATATTTGCCATGGCTCCTCTGTGAAAAAGCAGCCCGGCTTCTATGCTGCTGTGAACCCGTACGTCAGTGTTAGTAACAGATAGCCTTCTGATACTTTGCGTGCTCTCAAGTGGAGAATAGAAGTCTGGTGATGCCATTGATCTTCGCTGCAGTTCTGATCTCACAGCCTGAGAGCAAACTGGTAATCCCGTGAGACATTTTGCATCACGGCAGAACAGCTAAGGCCTTGGTTGCTTCCAGTGTTTGCCAAAAAAATCAGTGGAAATTGGTTTTAACTGTTGTTTCCCTAGAAACTATTCTAAGGTGTTAAAACTATGAATTGCCTCAAAACTAGATTTTTGTTTTAGTTTTTCTTATTTTCTGATCAGATTTTTCATGCAATTATTTTGACCTGATGAGTTACGAGTGCTTGCATGCAGGTTTGAAAATTAAGATAGTTGGCTTTAGAAGAAACTTAACTAGAGAATAATTTCCTCAAAAAGCAAACTGTTCTATAAGCAGCAGAGCTGATCAAGCCTACTTTCTGCCAGACTTACGTTCTTTATCTGTCTCCTCCTTCCTTCTGCAGTGCCTCCCCTGTCTTCTACCTCTTTTGCTGGCCATGCAGCTGCAGCACTTGCCATGGCTGGGGTTGGAGCTGTGTACTGACTGGCTGCTGCCTTTGCAAGTGGTTAAGATGTGAGTCTTAATACCTGCCTTTCCTGTATAGCAGATGTAAATTTGGGTGTCTTCTGAGAGCAGTTTGGGGTGGGGTGGGGTTGGGACTTGAAGGAATTTGGTTATCCTTCAGACTCCTTTCAAATCGGATTGAAGCTAGCCAATGGATTCGAAGAGCAACAAGGGACTGCTAGAAAAGCCCTTCTTGTGTAGAACTGTAAAAGATCTTCCGTTGCACAATACTTTGTCTTTCCACCTTTTTTTTCTTTCACTAGTTTGTCTGTATGTTTTCATTTGTAACTTAGCTTTCTGTCCTCTGTGCTCTGCGGGGTCTCCAATTTCATATGCAGAATCACTGAATGGTTTGGGTTGGAAGGGACCCTAAAGACCACCTGGTTCCACCCCCCTGCCATGGGCAGGGACACCTCCCACCAGCCCAGGTTGCCCAAAGCCCCATCCAGCCTGGCCTTGAGCACCTCCAGGGATGGGGCATCTGCAGCTTCTCTGGGCAGCCTGTGCCAGGGCCTCACCACCCTCATAGTGAAGAATTTCTTCCTAGTATCTCATCTAAACCCATCCTCTTTAAAACTGTTACCTATTCCCCTGTCACTACACTCGCTGAGTTTGTTTCTCCCTATCTTTCCTGTAGGCCCCCTTTAGGTACTGGAAGGCCGCAATGAGGTCTCCATGGAGCCTTTTCTTCTCCAGTCTGAACAGCCCCAACTCCCTCACCCTGTCCTCACAGGAGGGGTGCTCCAGCCCTCTGAGCATCCTCCTGGCCCTCCTTTCGATTCACTCCAACAGGTCCATGTCCTTGTGCTGGGGGCCCCAGAGCTGAACACAGCACTGCAGGTGGGGTCTCAGGAGAGCAGAACGGGGGGAAACTACCTCCCTTGGCCTGCTGGCCAAGCTTGTGAGTAAACATGCTCCAGCTCAGAAACAGCGGTGTTGGACCACTGAACTGAAATCACACCCTGAAGGCTTACTTGAACACAAGCACTATAATGAGAAGTTTCTGTCCTCAAGCCCTTTTAGAGGCTGCTTTTACCTGGAGGTTGGAGAAGATAGTTTCTTGAAATCACTTACAACCTCAATTGTCCTGTGCCCTTATAATCCTATTCATGGTCACAAAAGCAAAGGGGTGAGCAGGTAGATCACAATGCCAGCAAATGCCTTGCTTTCATCCATTTCCATGTTGCTTGTTCAATTCACCAATGCACCTTCCTTCCTCTTACTGATTTGTATGGGTATGATTTTTGCCCCCCTCACACACACTTTTTTAAGTCTTTAGAGCCCACTTCTGAAGCTATCTGAATACCCTGTCAGTTTAATCTGAAAGAACTGGCAGAAAAGTATCAAGAGTCACAAAAATTATTAGACGGCTGGAACACCTCTCCTATGAAGATAGGCTGAGATTTGGGATTGTTCAGCCTGGAGAAGAGAAGTCTCTGATGAGACCTTGTAGCAGCCTGCCAGTGCCCAAAGAGGGGTCTTAAGAGAAAGATGGAGAGTGACTTTTTACTAGGGCCTGTAGTGACAGGAAAAGGGGTAATAGTTTTAAACTGGAAGAGGGTAGATTTGAATTAGATATAAGGAAGGAATTTTTCATGATGAGGGTGAGGCCATGGCACAGGCTGCCCAGAGAAGCTGTGGGTGCCCCATCCCTGGAGGTGCTCAAGGCCAGGCTGGATGGGGCTTTGGGCAGCCTGGGCTGGTGGGAGGTGTCCCTGCCCATGGCAGGGAGGTTAGCACCCCCCCATATATACATACATATATATATGTATATATATGTGTGTATATATATATATATATATATACAAAAAAAATAAATAATGTATTATAGGTGCACTGATACCTGTCTCTCTATAGATTGGCACCAAGTACATTCTTGCCAGAAATCAGTAAAAGCCGCCTAAAACCTTTTCAATAGTTTTTAGATTGAAAGAAAACTTCCTTTCTCATTCTGAAAATGAAGTACAGTGTTGAGATGTGATACAGTTACTGTTTGGCTAACAGTAGACCCTCAAGTCTGAAAGAGCTTAGCTTCATATCCAGAGCCTTGCAGTTTGACAAAAGTTTTGCCTAGTCCCTTTGAAGCTGTGAAGAGGCACTATTCTAATTAATTAATTTGCAAGGTCCTAAAAAGTTGGTGATGGGATTTTTTGCACTCTTTGGTTGTGAAATCTCTTCCGTATAGATAGCTTTCCCATTTGAATTGTTTTGTTCTCCAGACAGCTCTGTGGTGTCCAAAGAAAAAAGCTATTAACAACAAAACCTATCAACAACCTTTCTATGTTATTTACAGTGCTCTGGATGAAATACATCATGATAAAAAAAAAAACCACAAAACTCCTTGTTTATAAGGTTGCAGCTTCTGTCTCCATGTCCAATAACCTGTATACAGTTCTTCTGAACAGTATTTTCAGTTTTTCTACTTCTCATTGAGTAGGTTAACTGAAAGGTAACTTTTTGCATAAACAGTTACAGACGTGCAGAAGTTTGATCAAAATATAACTGCACCTGAAGGATGAAGGTACCTGATGCTGGTAGGATGAAGTTGTCAATTTGAACTGTAATATTTATATTGCCTTGGGAGATGCATTTTTTTGGGGGGGGTGCTTATTAAAAACAGTAGTTTTAAAAATGTAAAATGGATATTTTATTTGTATAGCTGCCAGGACCTTGGCAAATATTCTCCTCTAACAAGGACTTAATAACTAGCATATTTAGAAGCACCTTAAGAACTGTATTGGCTACCTGTTCTTTACCCTGCAACATAAAAAACATTTCATTGTACCTAATTTAGTTGGATACACGTAGAGTTATTTCGGGTAGGAGATACGTAGCCAAGGCAGTGATATTAGTGAAATGGGAATGAAATGTGATCCCAAACTATGGTGCAAGATGTGACTGAGTATGTGCAATGGAAGCATCTTGAAGCCCAGGAGTGAGCAAGATAGTCAACCAAAGTGCAGAAAAACATGGCAAGGTTTAATGAGAACAAGCCTGAGAAAGAAAATTGAATGGCTTGTGATGATAGTATGTATGGTAACAGTGTTTCTTGTTCTTTACCTTAATAAACTGTCTGTCAGATATTACAGTCATGCCTTTTGTTTATGATGTAACATATGCTCTTTTCTTTTTCCAGATCAAATTCAGTTACCCAGAAATATGATTGAAAACAGTATGTTTGAGGAAGAGCCCGATGTGGTTGACTTGGCAAAAGAGCCTTGTTTACATCCCCTGGAGCCCGATGAAGTTGAATATGAACCAAGAAGCTCACGGCTCTTGGTGCGTGGCCTTGGGGAGCATGAAATGGATGATGATGAAGAGGATTATGAGTCATCAGCAAAATTGCTGGGAATGTCCTTCATTAACAGAAGCTCAGGTCTCCGGAATAACATGGCCGGCTATAGACAAAGTCCAGATGGATCGTGCTCGGTGCCCTCTACAAGGACCATGGTGGTTTGCGCTGCTGTTTTTGTGACTGTGATTTCAGTGATAATGGTGATTTATCTTCTTCCCAAATGTACCTTTACCAAAGAAGGCTGCCATAAAAAAAATCGTACAATGGAACTAATATACCCTTTGGCAACCAATGGAAAACTGTTTCCATGGGCAAAAATGAGACTTCCTTCTGATGTTGTACCACTGCATTATGATCTTGAGTTGCAGCCAAACCTTACTACTCTGAAATTTTCAGGATCTGTAAAGATAGTGGTTAATGTTCTCCAGGTAACTAGGAAGATTGTGCTTCACAGCTCAGGACTTAATATCACCAAGGCATCCCTTACTTCGACAGGAGGAAGGCAAGCAAAGCCAGTTGAATTACTGGAATACCCATTGCATGACCAGATTGCAATCATAGCTCCTGAGGCTCTCCTTGTAGGACAGAATTATACTGTCAACATAGAATATTCAGCTAATTTATCGGACACCTACTATGGCTTCTACAAAATTTCTTACAAGGATGAGGATTCTAAACAAAGGTATGCACGCAAATATTGCTGCTCTCTTGTCATTTCTAGATTGTGCTTTAGAAGTAACAAGGGTGACTTTTTCTATTGAATGTTTTGTACAACTGGTTCCTGTTGAGTTTAAAGATTCACTTTGTTCCTGATGTTTTAAATCTAGGGATTTAAAAAAAAAAGTCTTATTTTTGTTATGTTGCTGACACTTTAAGCGAAGCTGCTAGGGAGCTGGAAATTATCAGTGATTAAAATCAGCAATGCCTGAGAAATGTCTTTCATGGATGAGTTCATTAAGTCAGGGCAGCTTCTTCCTCAGCTTAATGCGGTGCTGTATGGAGCTTATAGATAGCTATACCATATTGTGTTTTTTTGTTTAATTTTTAGTATTTCTCTTTTGAAATGTTCTTGGCTAGTTGATAGTACCTCCAGAGTGGGGAATGAGGGCTTTATATGAAGATTAACAAAAATAGCTACCTACCACCAGCCACTTCAAATGGTCCTTAGCCTGATTGTGTACTTATGATTGTTCATGCTTTTGTTAGCATATAATAGTCCATGCAGATTTTCTAGAAACTGAGTGATGCAAAAAAAAAAAATGAAAAGAGCACTGTAGGTAAGTTCATTTCGCTGACAGTAGATGTGAAGGGCCTACAAAATGGCTATTAAATAGAATAAACACTTACCAGCTTGTTCTGAGGAATGCTGAGACCTAAAGTTTAAAAAAAAAAGTGAAATGGTACATAAAGGGACAAGCATGGAAAAGGGAAAAAAATGTCATCAGTGTTGCAACAGCAGAGAATTTGCATGAAAATGCCCGAAATACTTACGGGTAGATTTTGTTTCCTGAAAGGAGAAGGCAGACCTTGTAATTAATACCACTGAAATTGTCCTCTGGAGAAGGGGTCACACTGATATTTTACTTGTTTTCACTGACTTAAAACAAGACCTTTTGTTGAGCTATTGCTCTCCTATTTTTAGTGAGACTCCTTGAAGAGTAAAACATATGTGGCAAACTGGTTATATTTTTTTTCTCTCTCCAGTGAGATACAGTAACTGTGCTGCTGATATTTGAATTATTCAAGTCCCTCAAGGGTGGCCATCTTTTAAAATAAACCAAAACTGCTCAGTGTAAACATGATTTCATAGACTATTAGAAGGCTGCACGACATGTGAAAGATAAACTTCTTATTCTGTAAATTAAAAAATGTATTTTGTTTCAGATTCAGAAGGCATCTCTAGGCACTGACAAGATATTTAAACTAAAACTGACTTATTTTTCAGAAGTTTACTCAGTTTGCTGTTAAAACTCCGCATAGCTAGGTCCTAGTGGATCTATAACATTGCTGAAATGTACAAGAAAATATGTTGTCTGCAGCAGCTGTCTTCGACTATATGCAAGAACTGGTGGAATATAACTGGGTTCCTGAAGTGATCAGCAGCCGTGGGGTGAGGCAGAAACTTTCTCGCCTTCACTCCCATGTGTTTCTGATGGTCCTTCTGTGAGGTTGTTTGGGAGGCTTTCTGTAAGAGATCAAGAATTTGAAGATAGAATTTTGGTTTAAAGCATTTCCGATCTGTTGCAGTTTGCCCAGGTCTGATGAAGATGCTTTACTGAGGTACAAAGGTTCAGATCCGTAAGGTAGCACACTGTTAATAAGCCTCTTATGCTCAGGAGGAGCACTTTCATATACTAATACATGATACTGCATGTGAATCTTTATGATTCACATGATTAGTGAGAACCTGCTGCTGCTTCCTGGGAAACTGCTGCTCTGCCTCAATCTTCTGACAGTGTAACAAAAATGCCAAAAGTAGTCTGTGTAGGAATTCTTTAGGTAATAAAAAAAATCACAAAGGCTCCACATTGCATCAGAAGAATGTAACTACAGGATGAAATGAAAAAGATATAAGTAGCTTATCACAAGCCATGAAAGACATAGTCTCATTTCAATTCATATTTCATGGGAATAAGAGTACAGAGTCTTGCAGTAAGATTGCAGAAAGCAAAAATAACATGAAGTGTTGTAATTAGCTACTTTGAGATTTCATACTTTTTTGTAGTCTGATGTAGTTGAAGCTTCGTTATCTTGCGTTTGCAGTAGTAGGAAGAGCTTGTATGTGGAGAGGAAAAAGATAATCTGAGTAAGTTCAGAGGATTTTGTCCACCTTTAGTCTAGTGCTCCCTGCTTCTGTTCAAAGACAGGATGCTTTAACTTATGTATTTTTCAATAAATCATTTCCAGTAAATTTTACTGATTATCATCATTTCCATTGCATGTGTCTGTTTCCCACGGTGTTGTCTTTGTATGCTTACAGTCGGTGTTTTTAGGAATACAAGCTATTTTGACAATATCTGTTTTTATTGCATTTTTGATATAAAACTCAATCTATTGTGAGAGGAAAAAAAAAGTTACTTTTATTTTCTTCTGAAGATTATTTTACATTGCAACAAAAAAACTAAAATTATTAAATAGCAAAATAATTCACTCTTGCCATTTATGAAAAATGGATCGTTGTGAACTTCAAGATTGTGGTTGATGGGAAAGAGAGGACTAAAGTTGAAAACAGACCAGGAGAATAAATCTTGACAGTGACATGCCTCCTCAGAAAAACTGTAGGTCTGAAATGTTGGAGACAAAGAGAAAAATAACACAACCCCCAAAAGCGTTTGGGAGGTTGGCAATTTCTTTAAAATAGAAATGAAAAAAAAACGTTGGAACCACTGTTCTCTCCACTGTTTATCTCTGGTAAATGGAAGATAAATTGGCGAACTTCCTGTTTAGGTCCCAGGGTATTCCTGGGGGAGCAGAACACAAGTCAGAGATACTCTCTAGAAAAAGCTGTAATTTCTGGAGCTAGTTAATATCGAAACACTTGAGGAGGAACACGGTTCTCTTGAGATATAACTAGTTGTTGTATTAGAGGCAAGACAGTGCATGAATTTACATAAACGTCCACTAGCTAGCAAAGCGAGCAGGAAGACAGCTGAACTGTGAGAGCATCCTCAGCTGAAGGTACAGCAGTTAGATGGAAAAGCTTCTGTGTCATTATGTCTCCTTCTGAAGTTTGAAACTATTCTATATGGTGGGCATGTTCACTGATTTAATTTTTCTGTCTCCTTTAAGCTTTGTTCCCTCTTCCTGGAAAGATCACTGGACTGTTCTTTAATTGTGTTAAACCAGATATAGGATAAGAAAGCAAAAAACAGACAAGGAGATTAGTTTTCCAGTAGATAAGTTTCTTGGGTTTCAGAAAGACTTCTTCATAATCCTAATGAAACATTTTTTCTAAATGGACCAACCATGTTATCTGCCGTTTGGAAAGCTTCTTTTGTAGCAAGCAGTTACAAGGTTTGCGGGGAAGGGTGACTGTTCAATCATATGTAAACTGTCATTTATCCTTCTCCTAATTCTTAATTTGCCCTTTTCTACCTCTTTTCGTTAGGTGGTTTGCAGCAACTCAGTTTGAACCTCTGGCAGCAAGGTCTGCGTTTCCATGCTTTGATGAACCAGCATTGAAAGCTACATTTTTAATTAAGATCAAGAGAGATGAGAAACTTACTGCTCTGTCAAATATGCCAAAGGTACTTACTTTTGTACAGGAATTTTAGTAGAGCTATCTCCTAAGTAATCTGCGTAAGTGCTTTGCATTGTGGTTTTGCGTTAATGCCCAGGGGGTTAAATTAGAATCATAGGGTCATGTAGTTTGGACCTTTAGATAAACTGTACACTCTGACTCTTCTAAAACAAATGTCTGTTCCTCAAGGACTTGAACTAAGTAACTCTGGGGAAGGGTTAAGTAACTAATAGTACTAAGTAACTAATAGTGAAAAAAATATGCCCTCAGTGTTGGTGAAACATGTATGTATACTGTGCCCGGTATACATGGATTTCAGGAGGCTGTCAAAGGCTCAGGTGCTGGTGTAGCTGCACCATTTTTTGAAAAGCGAACTGATAATTGTGCCAGTGTGAAACAGTGTCTTCCTCATATAAAATGAATGTTCATGGATTTGCGGTGATTCTCAACAATTACTTTAACAGGATTCCAGCACCTTGGTTTATATCCAGGTCTAAGAGTGCATTATTGGCTGCTCTCTTCACTGAAAGAATCACTATGCAAACTGCTTGACAACTCTCCTCTTTTTTTTTTTTCTGTTCTTGTAAACGAGAAGGGGTGATTATTTGCTTTCCTGTGTCAGAAGTTGGACAAGTGGTTAAAGTAACTTTCATAAAACAGCTTCTATCATTCTTTATATACAAACTATTGTTTGTCATTGCTGCTTGTGTTTCTGAGCAAATTGCAAATAGTTGCTTAAAATCGACTCTGCTCTTAAGCACACCTTCCACAGACCATGAAGACTCTGAAACACATACTTGCCAAGAATATTTGTGCTTGCAACTCTCCTACTGCACCACATCACCACAGAAGGTGTACTACTGCTCTAATCCTGGTGTACGTTCTGTTGCTTGTCTCTTATGGATGGCTATCATTATGAGTTGAGAAAGGGTACGCACAGTGCAACAAAATACCCTAAGTTGGAAGGGCCCACAAGGATCATTGTGTCCAACTACCAGCTCCACACAGGACCACCTAAAAATAAGTCCCTGTGTGCTCAGCACTGTTCAAATGCTGCTTGAGCTCCGGCAGGCTCAGTGCTGTGATCACAGCCCTAGGGATCCTGCCCACTGCCCAACCACCCTCTGGGTGCAGACCCTTTCCCTAACCCCCAGCCTGACCCTCCCCTGTCCCAGCTCCATGCCGTCCCCTCGGGTCCTGTCGCTGTCCCCAGAGAGCAGAGCTCAGCGCCTGCCCCTCTGCTCCCCTGGTGAGGGAGCTGCAGGCCTCCATGAGGCCTCCCCTCAGCCTGCTCTGCTTGGGGCGGAGCAAACCAAGGGGCCTCAGCCACTCCTCATAAGTCTTTGCCTCTAGACCTTTCATCATCTTTTTAGCCCTCCTTTGGACACCCTTTAACAGGTTTATATTCTCTTTATGTCGTGGCACCCGAAATTGCACACAGCGTTTGATTGTAAGGCCATACAAGCGCAGAGCAGGAAGTATCACTTCTTTTGACCAGCTAGCAATGCTGTGCCTGATGCCCCCCAGGATATGGCTGGCCCTTTTGGCTGCCAAGGCACACTGCTGACTAACATTCAACTTGCTGTTGACTAAAATCTCCAGGTTCCTTTCTGTGGGGCTGCTCTTCAGCCTCTTATCCCTATTATGTGTGTATATCCAGGATAGCCCTGTCCCAGGTGCAGCATCCAACACTGATTCTTGTTAAATTTCATGTTGTTGGTGGCTGCCCAGCTTTCTAATTTGTTAAGATCTCTCTGTCAGGCCTCTCCACTCTGGAGGGAGTCAACTGCTCCTCCCAGTTGATTTTCACCTTTAAAATTGCTTAAATATACCTTCAAGTTCTTCATCCAAGTCATTAAGGAAAACATTTAAGAGAACTGTACCCAGAGTGGAGTCCTGAGGACCCTGCTAGTGACTGACCTCCATCCAGGTGTGAACCCTATTTACTATAATTCTTTGAGCCTAACTAGTCAGCCAGTTTTTTATGTATCATATCATGTATTTATCTAGCTGTATGTTGGACATTGTGTCCAGAAGGATGCTGTGACAGACAGCATCAAAAGCTTTGTTAAAATCCCCCCAAAATCACATGTACTCTCTTCCTGTGGTCAACTAGATGGGTAACTTCATGGTAAAAAGGAATTAAGTTAGTTAAGCAGGACTCCCATGAACCAGTGCTGGCTATGACCAATGACTGCATTGTCTTTAAAGCGTTTTTCAGTAACTCCCAGAGTTATCATCTCTGTAATGTGACAGTTTTCATCTCTCAGAATTATCTGGTTTACCTATGGTATCAAGTGACTTGGTTGCCTTCTTGACTGGTAATGACTGGCAAATGAAATGGAGGAAAAAAAATGATTAACTGTGCTTCGCTGTCATATGTGGTTAGGTATCTAAGGAAAATGGTTGGGGATGATTCAAGATCACGCATGGTATTTTGCGGGATTGCTGGGTGCTACTATTTTAGTTTGTCTGTCTTCGAGTTCTGTGTTCTCCTTTAACATTTACTTATTTGCTTGACTTTTTGCTTCGTTTTGGAAACTTCCCCATTCAGTAATCTTTAATTCCTCTTTGGAAATATGAAAGGAATTACTGGTCTGCTGTCTAGTTGTGCCAGTTGTGGTTGATATTAGATTTCTCCAGAAGGGAAAGCAAGGGCCCTCACTGTAACAGAAGGCATGCTTACTTCCCTTGCTTTTCTCTCAAAATGTGTCTGTGCAGCACCTCCATCCTTCTTTCTTCAGTAAATACTTTCTTTTGTCATTTAATCTAGCTGCTTCATTGACTTCCCTTTCTTTTCTGACTTCACTTAAATTTCATGTGTTTTGTGCAAGGTGTTTGTGCAACATTGTTTGTGCAGGAAGAAGTCATCTGGGAACTACTGCATTTGTTTGTGGCATTGGGCAAGGCTGCGAAAGTTCAAACTGTTTTCTTCTAGATTAGGCAAATGGGTCACTTGATGCAGTCAACAGTAAGCATCAGTGTGTATTAGCAGGCTTTTCTACCTTCCTGAGAGAGCCAGCAGACGAGCTTCTTGTAGCTGAAGCTCTGTGTTGCCAAGACTTGTGACTTTTGAGTTCAACTGAACCAACTAATATGCCTGAAAACGCAAGTCGGTATTTCCTGTTTAGTGAGTTATTGCTTTTTGTCAGAGGATCTTCCTCTAATTAGTCAGACTCCCACACCTTAAGACATACAATTTAAATCTGGAAAGAACGACAGTTATGTGCTTTCACCTTGCATCTTTCCATAACGTCTGCCTTGCATTGCCAGTCCAGTGAGGTATGCGCCTGTGGCATTTTGCACTGAGGAGGGAGTCCTACCCCACCTCATTTATTTCTGCTCAGCTCTAAGCGCTATTAAGCAGTTGGTAGCTCTTTCTGTGTGTGTGTGCCACAAGTTATCATCCACATGGAGAAAACATACTGATGAGGTGCTTTTACAGTTAGATCATTACTGCATCTTTTTTCGTCCTCCTTACTTCAGGACACATTTACATTTCAGTTCCTAGCCTTTCTTGCCACAGTGTCATATTCATTGCACTGCTCACTTTTCAAGGAGGTAGGAAACCATTTGAAAAACGGAGGTTAGGGAAATGTGTCCTTTTATTCCTACTTGCAGTGAAAAATGGATTGGAATTGCACATTTGTATCATCTTAAAGATAGATACTACAGATTTTCCCTGTTGATTGCTTGTACTACACACTCAGCAGTTTCTGTACTGCATAGAAAATGTGTGTTCCTTGCCTTGTTCCCAGCATTGTGATTTACATAGTCATTCCTCAAGTAATTTTTATGGCACTCCTGCATCTTAAATTCCCTTCTGAATATGTGTCTCTTGCATCTTTTTGGTATTTTGATTACTGCTCATGTTTGACATACCACTTGAGTTACCTTCAAATCTGCTGCTTCTGCCTTGAATACTACATCTATTCAACTACCTATGAGTGCTATAGACAGAAGATCCTGTCCTTTCAAGCTAAGAATTCTCCTTCTCTCCCATCTTGTCAGGGATTCTTTTTCCATCATCTGGTTCTCTGCTTTTTAGTCCACTTCTCTATTTTTTATCTATTTTCTTTAATATTTTATCTACTCTTTTTTTCTTCTGTACCAATTACTGAGCTTGTTATAGTGAGAATGTTTTAAGAGCACAGGAGAAAACACATTTCAAAAAGTATCATTTGCATTTTCTGTTGTTTCCATCTCTATTTTAAAATACGGTTATTCCACTTTTTTTGTGATGAAGATCTGAGAATGCATCCTTATGTGAAACAAAGACAATATCAAAGAAAGGCATTAACAGCAGTGAAGTTGTATGTTTAGTGTTGAGAACCAAATGCGAGTTCTCATGTCAAACAGACAAGTCAGATTTAATTAGAATTTACCAATAAGGTATGAGAACACACAGAGCAAGTGAATTGACAGTTTTGCTAATGAGCAGTATCTCTAGAAGAATTACTAATTTGTGTTTATACTACAAACAATATTTTTTCTTTTGTTTTGTTTCCTCTTTCCTCAACTTGATACTCTGATAACTCGATGCTGTGTATTTCCTCATTTGTTGTTACATGATAACTAAACATGCAGTTGGTGGGTTTAGAAGTGGTCCCTTTGGGTTTTGTAATTTGTTAGGAAAACTTGCTCTCTCATGCTTGTGAATTACAGTAAAATCTTTATTTCAATATATACTGGAAAAGTATGTTACCTCAAGAATGTTCCTGGCATCAGTGAATTCTCTTGTAGCAGTACTAACTTTTATATGCAAATCTTCTTTTTATTGGCATGCTTTTTGTCCCTGATCTTCCAAGTGCTCTAGCACATGCTGAACTGTGGCATTTCAGGCTTAGCCTGAATATATTCTGTTAGGTAGCATGGTATCCCAGTGCAACACTTCAGGCTAGCGAGCTGATTTGTGTATGCATAAAGAAAGAAATACCAAAAGTGGATAAGGGTATCTTGTTGCATAAAGCATATTCCGTTGGTGAGATCATTACTAGGATAGGCCCTCTTCTGAAAATAAACACTTAAACAAACCTCTGTTAGGAAAAATAAATAACTGCAATTTCTCCTGTAATAACTGCACGTCTTGGGAACAGGCTGTACTGGATGGAGACAATTAAGATCAGATTCTTTACTCTATCCAGGAGAATGTTAAAGGGTGAGCTTCGTCAATTTCTATAAATACTTACATGAGCAGGAGATCTCAGAAGCAGGATTTCTCAACTAGTGTGTGCACAGCTAATATGGCAATATTTAATGGCTGACACACATTCAAGCTAGACAAACCGTATGAGTTTGGGGCTTGTGTTTTGTGAATTTATTTTTTTATTTTTATTTTTTAATAAGGATAACTGACTTGAAACAGTTTATTTGCAGCCACAGCAGATGCTTTGTCACCTGAAGTACAAGTATCACGTTTTATGATAATGAAGCTGTAGTAAAGACAAATTTATGAATGTTTTGAAGACATACAAGAAGGAAATTCTGTTCGTACATGGTGGCCAGACAAGATGATTGTATTGCTCTGCTCAGGATTAAACATTTCAGGCTGGCAGTTAATTTGCTAGAGTTATTGATGATTTTTTTTTTAAATGCCCGTAGTTTCTGGAAACAAACATTTTTATGAAGTTTCAGAAGACATATGTACTACTGTCACTGTCTCCAAACCTTTATTATTCTGCATTAGTGATTTTGTACATTTAGGTGTTGTCTTTATGTAATTTCTTTGTGAAGGACTATACAAAGAAGTACTTCGAAGAGTAAAGCTTGCCTTTCCAGGACTAATATTAAGAAAAACTTCTGTGTTCTTAAGAAGTATTCTTAAGATACACCATGGTGTCATTCTTCAGAAGAATGAGTGGGCAGTTATGTTTGACTGTGTTTAAAATGGATATGGTTGTGCTTTAAAGTGAATGAGACAATAGGTTTCCTTAACTTTTTAAAATGAAATTTTTCCCAGTTGGTAGGGGTTAGGCAAAAGAGGAGTCATGCTATGTTTTTTGTTGTTTGTTTATTTAGTATGTTTAGTTCCTGTTTTTGAAGAGGTGTCTGGCTAGAGACAAATACTTAATTTATGCAGTGCCTGTATTTTCAGGCTATTCTGAACTGTGCCTACAGCCTAAAGCTCTCGTGGATTAATGCTAATCTTGCTGTTGATTTTGGATTATATTGGGGATTTTAAGTATGAATTAAATGAGATAGAGGGTGTTTCCAACAATGTGGTTGTCTGGTAATACTGCATATTAAAAGCTTGATAAGTAGTTTTGGTTTATATAAGCTTAAATGTTCCATGTCTCCTCAAGCTTTGTTACACCATGGATAGATTGTGGGTCTTAGCTGTTCTACTGAAACCTAATCAAAAAATAGATTTATTCTTCATGTTTGCTTATAAACTGTTCCTAGCCATTTCTGCAATAATTCTTTAATTTAACACTGATTTCTTGCATGCTTTAGTGTTCTGTTGTCTGCATTAGTAACACTTTCCTTTACCTGCAGAAAGCCACTACTCCTGTGACAAATGGAATTGTCCAAGATGAATTTTCTGTGAGTTTGAAGATGAGCACCTACCTGGTAGCCTTTGTTGTTGCAGACTTGAAAAACATCAGCAGAGAAACTAATGGGAGTCTGGTACGTTTATTCCTCTTGTAAGTCCCTCTCACCCTTTCCCAGTGCAGCCAAAGAAAACAAAACTATTAAAAAAAATCCACAAACCAATGAGCAAACACAAACTTTCTGCAAGACCTAGTGACTCCCTCCATGAACCCCCACCCCATTTATTTATATATTTTCTTGTATTTTTTAATATTTATCATAGGTACAGTATTATGCTCATCTTCGGCAATAACTATATGCTGTAGGTTGGATTGATTTCAGGGCTTATACCAGACTGAGAAGACTTTTACAGTGTGGGACTCAACATCAGGGCTTTTTAGTAGCAGAAATTCACAAAATCTAAAATCCCTAAGAGCTTTCATAACTGGAAGCTTTAAACATTTGCTTTTAATACTTGATCTGTGAGGGGTTAATGTCAGGGAACTAAGAATTGTTCAAAATATGTATGGAAACAGTACTGTTCCCAAGGGAAGCAAACATACTATTTACATAGCAATAGACTTTGTTGTGTGTGTTCAAGTAAAGCAGCAAATATGTTATGGAAAAAAAAAAAATAAATAAAAAAAATAAAAAAAAAACTTGTGCCTTTCAAGCAGTCAGTTTTTTATTTTTTTTATGGATACGGACTGTAGAGTAAATGAGCAATTTATGCAATGTGTGCCATTTGCATGGGTTATTGGTATCATAGAAGTATTTAGTAGCAGAGCAAAGCATATAGGAGAAGAGAAAAAGAGTGAATGATGTGTTCTGTCTGAGGGAGAATGGTTCTTCACCGTGCTTCTCCTTTATTCTTACCTTGCAAGGTTTAGCAAAACTAAGGAAATCTAGCAGAACTTTAGAAGGCACCAGACAGAAAGAGACTAGCAATGTATAGTATTTACTAGCTTAATGGTAAAGTCTGAAAATGATCATAGCAACGCAGGGTAGAGTCTGGCTAGTGAGTTATTTGCTTGCCAGGAGTGTCTAATAGTCCAAGGGAGACTGTAAGAAGACTTCCAGACTGTAAGACTGTCTCTTGTGTTTGTGTATGCATCTAAATGTGGATGAACCTGTAATCTAATCAAAGCTATTTTTATGATATAGCCACTTCTAAAGGTTTTGTAGCTGTAAGTTTCAAAGTCTGTTCTCTTCTCTGTTCTGACTAGGTATCCGTCTATGCCATACCACAGCATATAAACCAAGTAGAGTATGCTCTAAACACGACAGTGAAACTTCTGGAATTTTATCAAAAGTACTTTTTAATAAATTACCCTCTTGAAAAATTAGGTAAGTTCTTTTGAACTTCTTTTTTTAAACACAAAAAGAAACCTGATAAATTCTGAGAAATGCAGAGGAACTTTGAATCTTCTCAGGTGTCTTTTAAATAAGTAAATAAGTAAGATGAAATAAAACATCTCTGAAATAAGGTTTCCCAAACATTATTTTCAAAATCCACTAAATGTTTATTACTGTGACTGGAAAGGTTATTAAATGCAGTCATCTAACATGCCACCTTCAGTAGTGGCAGCTGCATTTCCTGGTTGCTGATGTGCGTGCAAAATCTAAAGGCAGTATGTAGTGCTTTAAGTTGTTTGCATAAGAATACTGCTAGAGAAACATGGCTATAAATCCATGAGGCTTTTGTGCTTGAAATGTGACTCCATGCCCACACCACAGGATTTAAATAATGAGTTTTTTTCATGGGTTACGTAATAAAATAGATAGACTTGAAATATGGAACCTCTTTAACTAGCTGTTTTCAATAGCTTCTTTCAAATCTTTTCCAGATCTGGTAGCAATTCCTGATTTTCAGTCTGGTGCAATGGAAAACTGGGGCTTGGTCACCTTCCGGGAAACAACGCTGTTGTATGACAGTAAAACTTCTTCAGCAAGGGATAAAAAGCTAATAACTGCAGTGATAGCTCATGAGCTTGCCCATCAGGTATTACTAGATTGGGGAGGTCATTATTTGTTTCTGTTTTATTTTTTGTTTGTTTGCTTTTGAATGCAATCCTGTTTATTAAATTCACCTCTGCCCCCACTGCTACTAGGTTGTGCATTATATCTTTTCAGAATACCTGTGAGAGTATTTTCTCCAATGCAACAGGCAGGGTGCAATTTTGTCACTGTCTAATTACAGAGTTGTTCATGCAAAAGCATTACTGTGGTTTTGAGTAAATTTGTTTTTGTCACGAAATAGAGCTGAGGATGAATGGAGTGTCACTGTAATCCTTTGATTTATTTCAGAAAAATAACTCTTTTTTTGTCTTTCGTAGTGGTTTGGCAATCTAGTAACCATGGAATGGTGGAATGATCTCTGGCTGAACGAGGGATTTGCCACTTTCATGGAGTACTTTGCAATGGAGGAGGTTTTTCCAGAATTACATTCAGTAAGTGTTTTCTTTAACTAGACTTGCTGTACCGTCATTAAGATCTGCTTTTTAATGTTGACCATAAAGGATTGGTATTTATAAACTCATATGAGAAGTCCACTTTGAGTACCACTCATCTCTCTTTCTTTTATATTATACCTCTCCTTCATAGGGCCTTTCGTTATATTGGAAGTAGGTTTTCATTTGTTTGTTTGAGTGAGTTTTTTGGTTTTTTTTGAACTTTGGTGATAGTGTAAATGCAGTCTTTGTGTTATATATAGGTTAAAACTGAAAATTTACACTGGAAGTCCAGGTATGTGGTTGACCAAGGTTTTCTTTCTCTCCTTTCTCCTGTCGCCTTAGGCATCACCAGGGCTTTAGGTTACTAAATATGCCTGGAGTCACTTTTGTCTTTCTATCATTATGGTAATTGTGTCTGAGTCAATTTGGGATTCACGAGTCAGGGACTGGATTTCAAAGTATGTTATGGTCTGACCCAGTGGATGCTGATAGTGTGGAATTACACCTCATATGTTGTACAAAGCACTGCTCCAACAGGCACTTCTCTCTACAGACGTGTCTGAAGGAGAGAGAATGAAGCTTTTTGGTATAACCTAGTGTTGGTTTAAAAACTCACTCAGCTTTTATGGCTTCTGGAAAGCTCTGGAAAACATAAGGGATTTAAACTTGATCATTCCCCTCTTGTAAAGCATTCCTATCACTGAATTCAGGCCAAGAAGGGAAGACTGGTGGAACTACATGGAGGAGGCAGTGGAGAGAGCACTTTTTCATCCTAGATAGATTATCTCTTAGGAAAGGAGATAGCAGTGCTCCAGATTCCACTTCAAGGAGTGCTTACGTGATTTGTGTTAGTCATGGGATTAAAAGCCTGACTGGTACTGACAGTTTCCTACTTGCTGGATTGTGTCCACAGCATCCTAGCTGGATGTGAATTCTGAGTATTTAATTCACCCTTCTTTTACTGCATTAAGAAACCTACATTGCAAACTTGGTTCAGTAGAGATTTTTTTTTGGAACTAGGTGTTAAGTTTTTTCATTTGTTTTTTGAGTTTGAATCTCACTGAAAGTATGTTTGCAAAGTTGTCCTGCTCGTTGGGCATGTGTGGTGAGAGGAGGACAACAAGCTAGCCTGGTATTCTAACAAGAACACACCTCCATTTCAGTACTTTGCTCTGATAGGTGCCTGACAAGGTACATTCACCTACATCTTGTTTCACCACTTGGTGGTGCCAAAAAATGTTTTGTTGAACACAAAAAATCAATCCAAATGACTGCATTCAAAATGAATAGCTTTAAGTTTTCAACTTCAAAGGATTTCTTGATTGTCTCGTAAAACGGGCCTTTCCTTCATTTTCTGTAACCCATTAAGATTCACTCCTGCTGTATGGAAACTTTATAGAGAATTGCTTGGTTAAATCTCAGTGAAATTAAATAAATAGGAATACAATCAGCTTCTTTAAAAATAGTTTAAATGTTTAATTGTTGAGGGTTGTTGCTTCATGGTAACAATGTATTAAATACCTATATCCTTCATTAAGATGGAAAGAAGGAAGAAGCTTTGGTACTGGGATTGCTAGATAAGATGCTGTTTACATGCACATGAGCATCATTATAGTCAGTAATTTTATTAGACTTTGGGCATTGACTGAAATCTGGAAGGAAAAGATTAAGTATCATGAATACTACCCTGAAAATTCTTCTGCCTCCATTGGCAAGAAGGCGAGCAATGGTGTTTCAGAGTAATGGGAAGAGCAAGGCAAAGATTAGTTTTACTGTTCTGCTTGCCACGTATGTTCTTGCTTCTCAAACATTTGTATGTTCTACCTTCTCAGACACAGATGTTTGTCTTGTAGGATGAAGATTTCCTAAATCTAATATTCAAGGCTATGATGAAGGATTCCATGAATTCTTCACATCCAGTCTCTTCTGCTGTTCAGTCTTCAGAGCAAATTGAAGAAATGTTTGATACACTTTCTTACATCAAGGTAACTTCAAAAATATTTCAACATAATCAGAAAGTGATGTATTAGCTATTGTAAAAATGAATGTGGGATCAAGAGTAAGTAGGCATGTGCTGGCAGTTGTTTGGGAGTACACCTAGGACCTTTCAGAAGTGTTTATCTGAGCATCTACATAGCTTTAAATTCATGAAAAAAATGTATGTACATGCATTTATGTCTTTACTTGCTTCTGTTTGGTGCATGGTTCAGCACGAAGTCACAAAGTAAAATATTCGTGAAGATGTAAGAAGGGACCTGATGGGTGAAACAAATGTCCAGCTGATTATATATTCTGTTTGTGATAGCAGACTAACAATATCACAGGATCTTAAGAAAAGAGTAAGAAAAAGGCACTTACTACCCTCTCCCATCTTTATTTATTACTCTGCTTTTTGAAAATGTTATTTTAGAGACCTTCTGAGTGGAGGCTTACATGCTGGAATGTAAGATGATTCTGTAGCACATCCTGGTTGTCTACAACTAATTATATCTGTTTCTAATCTGTAGTGAGTGATAGGTTTGCTTTGTGTTTTTTGTTTTGTGTCTTTTTGTTGTGTGTTTTTTTTTTAACTTCACAGTGCCTCAGTTAGTGATTCATGGGAAAGTAAATAGCTGTATTTGACAAAGTTTTACTTTGCCTCAGGTTTAGATGTCAGGTACGCCTTGTTTGGTAGTATGGGAGGAAAGCCTTTTATTTCTTTTTGGATTAGCTGTCATTTTTTCAACACTATGGTTGTAGTCTCATCTAATAAGAAACCAGATAGTGCTCATTAGAAAATTGTGAAATGCTGCATCTGTCTCTGCTTAGTGAAAAGCACCTCCCAAAACTGTCTTGGTTTGTCTTCTCTGCTTCCTTAGCTGGTCAACCTGTTGTCTGGTAATCCCTGAGCATTCGGAGATGCCACATGGTCTTAACCACAGTGGTGTGCATCTGTTTGTTTTGGTCTGTGCTCGCTGAATTACAAGAACAGAGATGTGATTTTCAGCTTCCTATGGTTGTGAAGTGAATTTGGTTTCTGTCCTGAAGTTGTATATCAAAAGGCATGGCAGATATTTCAGGCTTCAGAGTTTCTCTCTCAATTAGTTGTCATTTTGGTGTTCTTCTGGAAGCTATACAACATTCATGATCATGTCTGTAGCTGTGTAACTTCAGTGATTAGAATGCTGTCACTGATCAAAACTGTGATTTTAATGGAAATATTCCCAAAGTGACTAGGCTGGAGTATCAGTCCATTAGTAAAACACATTCGGACAATTATTTTATTGGTTTACTGCTACTAGCAAGTGTGCGCCTTCTTCATGGAGACATAGCAACCTATATCTTGGAGATTAGGAGTTAAACAAGAGAAGTGTAGCCCTTGCATTGCCAGAAACAGGTTTTTCATTGCTGTTATCTTTGTTTCTGAGGCTTTCATTGCATAGTTCTTGCTACATTCACACAGTGTTTGTTTCCACTACTCTTTGCCCCGTATCTTAGCTAGTGCCCTTGGCAATTTGAGTGGGAAGGCATTTGTAACATGCTTCTTATTAGCCAATAGGGTGACTGTTAACTGAATTATACAACTTTATTTTGCTGTACCATAAACTGACACAGGTGAATATGTGGCCTCTGCATTTTACCGTCTGAAATAGCAAGTGTTCTACAAAATTATTTCAGCCTTCTAGTTTTACAGGCTGTCAATAACCCATCGTGGTGGGAGAACAATCCAACTACAACAACAGTGTGTTTGGTTATCTTTGACAGAAAGAAAAAGAAGTAGAGCTATAGATTAAGTCTGGATTCATGCAAGAGAGGAAATAATGACCATGTTCTCAAAACCTATAGTAAGGGGTATTCCTGCAGTTTAGTGAATAATTAAATTATCAGAGTTCAGGCAACTTTCAGTTTCAGGCAAGATGTTACTTAAATTTCCAATCTAGAGTTCAGAATGTATGAGAACCATACATGCTCTCATGAAAATCTACCTTACAATGTTTTCTTGATCCTTTCTTTAAAATATTATGAAAAACTTAAGGTGTACCTTTATCTTCTTGTGATATGCCTGCTCAACTGCAGGTATATCTGCAGGTGTACAGTATGCAAATCCTCAGGTAACTTATTTACTCATGGCTGTGATGTAAGAACATTTCTGTGGAAATAGAAATGCAGCTTTTAAGCTATTTGAGCCATGTCTACAACAACAAAAACCAACATTCTGTCTGCATTCCTGTCCACTTCAAAACTGGAACTAAACTTAGCTGAGTTGTTCAGTGTAGGTGCAAGTCATATAATTGTCAAAACCGTCTCACAAGTGCAGTTCTGTATGATAAAGAAGAGTATTGCTAATGAAATAAATCAGCCAGCAGAGACTTACCAATTAGAATGCAATATTTTTTAGATGATGATAACTGGGAGGGGATGGGAATTCAAGCATTATTAGCCTGTTTTATAACTGTATTTGGAGTCTTTGAGATATTCAATTTTTTTTTTCCAAAGTAACTAGGGAAAAAATTCAATATTAGTTCTTTTTGTAATCATATTTGAAGTTTATGTTTGTCCTCTAAGTTTAAAAATACTTTTCCAAAGCAACTGCGTGTTAAAGGTGAATTATTCTGATCAAATCAATTTTGGTTAAAATTTAAAAAAAAAATGGGATAAAATCTGCCACCTTCTGACTTACTATTGTAGTATGAAAGAGGTACAATATGTATATGCTCAACAAGTTCTGTACCTTTTAATTTACCAGCATGTTTTCTTTTTTCTCCGCTGTAGGGGGCTTCACTTCTGTTGATGCTGAAGAACTATCTCACAGAGGATGTTTTCCAAGCTGGCATTGGGGTATACTTGCATAATCATGACTACAGGTCTGCCCAGAGTGATGACTTGTGGGACAGCATGAATGAGGTATTCATCTTTAATATTCTGCTCATGTTTTTTTCACTTCTCAAAATGTGTTGTGACTTTTGGTTTATTTCTTCATTTATGAAGAAATGGGATAATACACTACAGATAAATATTGTGAAGTTCTTGCTTATTGTATTTCCATCATATAAATATGGAGATAGTTGTAGCTTTTACGTCTCCATTCAGTATCATCCCAAAAAAGTGCTGGAAGTGGATAAACACTACCATATCTACCATGTGTGGAGATGTCAGCATCTATATATATCCTCCCTCGAGCTGCATCATTGGTGTTTTAAGGCCAGAATAAAACTAGTCATCTTAAATGCAGAACAAAAGTTTTCTTTCACAATGGAGCTGAATCCGAAGTCTGACGGTGAATATATTCATCCTGGGACACTCCGTGTACCTTTGTTTCAGTGAAAGCTTCTGTTTCAACATGCAGAGCCGGCGTTATATGGAAACAGGTTTTGAGATAGCCTAGTTCAGCCACGCTCAGATGGGAAGGTGGGCAAGGGGGGTACATTAGAGTGAGGGCAAGGGTGTGAAAGCAAAGGTGTGAGAGGATGTGTAATGGAGAGTGAGTAGTGGGAGGGTGAGCCGGGGAGGGCCAGGGGGAGAATAGGGCACAAGAAGGCAGGGAGAGGGCAGGGGAGCTTTGAGTAGGGCATAGAGTGCCAGCAAGGGGGTAGAGGGCAAGGGTGAGAGAAGGGGGGGAGAGTGAGAGGGAGGAGAGTGCAAGGGAGAGAGTGTGAAGGAGAGCATGAGGAAGAGGAGAGACTGAAGGAGCGATCAAGGCCAGGTTGGATGGGGCTCAGAGCAACCTGGTCTAGTGGAAGGTGTCCCTGCCCATGGCAGGGAGGTGGAACCAGGTGATCTTTAAGGTCCCTTCCAACCCAGACCATTCTGTGATGCCAACAAGAGTGAGCTGCTAGGTATCCCCAGTTTCAAGCTGTTTGGATGAAGAAAGAGAACACATCTCCCTGTGTCTGTTCTGTGTGGTGTGTATTAAATTCTCTGAAATACACGTGACGTTTCCTTATAGAAAGGCAAGATATTAATGTTTAGTTGTGGTTCTTGGCATCCATCTTATGATATCTAAACTTTTGCAGAACTGGAGCCATTGTTAGTTCTTGTCAGGGTGGCGCTAAATTTGTGTGTAGTTGTCTACAGTCACCAGTTGGCCAGCTAGTGATGGATTATTTTTGGTATCAAACTGACTCTCTTACCTTAAAGAATTCTTGTTTTAAGTGTTGCGTTTGTTTATTTTTACAATGAAAAGTAGATATGCCTCTCCTGAATCCCTCCTAAATGAAACCTCTGACCAACTGTCTTCAGTCATGCATACTGCAGGGGCAGGTTCACCTGCTGGAAGTTGCCTTTCTGTGATGTGCTTACACTGTCCCCCTTTTCCTGTGTGTCCATTGCTGGTTGTATTTTGTTTTGTGCCTGAGTCTTTGGGGTCTGGGACTTTTGTGTATGTGTTTTTGTTGGTTGATTTTTGTTGTTGGTGTTGTTTTTTTATGTAAGCGTAAATACTGTTAATTCTGTGTTCTGATTAACCTGCACTTCATGTACGTACTTATGTCCTTTTTTTTGAAAGGCTCATGGGTTAGCTGGTCTGGACTGGTATTTCATCACATTAGCTTACATTGGGACCTTTAATAAAGGTCCTTCACTGAGAAGGTACCAAATTTCTTGCACTTCCTTTCCATTGGTTTTCACCTGTTGCCTCTTGAATGTATTGAAATACACTACCCCTGTATCCATTTTCATTTGCTTTGGTCTTCTGTCTGCTTATTTTTCTTTTTGTACCTTGAATTCTTACTTTCTTTTGCTTTTATAGTCTTTCACATTCAAATTCTCAGCCAGTCATACTCAGGCAGTAGGTTAACAGTCATACCTACCCCGGCTGTACGTCACATTGCTTTTACAGAAAGGTTAAGGTTGGCAGGGACGTCTGAGGCCATCATGGTCCAGCCCAGCTACAGACCATCTCCAGATGGCTTCTGAGTATCTCCAAGGAGGGAGACCCCACAGCCTGTCTGGGCAACCTGTGCCCATGTTCAGTCACCAGCACAGTATGAAAGTGCTTCTTTATGCTCAGGAACCTCCTGTGTTTTGGTTTGTGCCCATTGCCTCTGGTCTCATCACTGGGCACCAGTAGAGGTTGGCTCTGTCTTCTTTCCACCCTTCCATAAGGTATCTATAGACATTGATGAGATCCACCTGAGCATTCTCTTATTCAGGCTGTAACCAAAAAGCTGAATGTGACATGAACTGAAAACTTCAATCTGTACAGTGAATAGTAAGATGCTCACGAGGGTAACTAGAGACAGACAGCATGGGTTGGTAAAAGGTATATGCAACTTAAATGATAATAATAATAATCTCCTTATGTTCCTGTTAGCTCCTCCTAAAATGTATTTTTATAAATTAGAGGTAGCATTGTCGTTCTCAGGTTGGATGATCATCTCTGCTAGTAAAGAGGCAGTGATATGTAAACTATAAAGTACTTGACCCTCAGTGGAGATGTTGTAGTGCAAATAGTTCTTGAAAGATGGAAGACATAGGAGGTTAAGCTATACAAAGGCTTATACAAAGGTAGATGGGATGCCAAAAAATTAAAAAAAAAAAAAAAAAAATCATCCAAAAAAGCCATGAATTGGTTTAGTGTTTTATTATACAATTTATTATACACCATCACTTTAATTCAATTTCTAATAATGATTTCTGAATTTTAAAAAGTTCTTTAACATGCATGTAGGAAATGCAGGATCTGAAACATGCATAAAATACCAGAATACCAATAGTGAAAGAGAAAGCGAGGAGGGTGGGTTAGATTTGGGGAGCTTACCATAACTTCCTTTTCCAGAACATTCTTGTCTCTATTTCCTCAACATACCAGTTCTGCCTATCAAATGTTTCTACTTTCTCTTTCCACTGCTTGACAAGGAGTCTCTCTACTGGAGAAAATAAAAAATTATTTGTTCCCCTTAATTTATATCATGAAATTTACAGTCTCAGTGTCAAAGTGACTTTACTAATACAGAATGTTGCTACTACTTATGTGGTAAGTTAAGGAGGGAGATTTAAGAATGTGTTTGTATTTTAAAAAAATAATAAATAAAATTTGCAATTTTCCTGTTACACTATGATTGCTTTTTTACAGATCACCAATGGAACACTAGATGTAAAAAAGTTAATGAAAACGTGGATTCTGAATAAAGGATTTCCTTTGGTGACTGTTGTGCGATCAGGAAGGAATATCTCTATACAGCAGGAAAAATTTTTATATCGTGTGGAACCAGAAAATTGGACATCAGATGCAAGGTAACCACCTTGTTACTACTTTCCATACATTGAAATATATCTGCAGATAACTTTTTTATATCATGTACCTTTCTATTTCTGTTCAGGGGTTCTGGTATTTCATCTGAATGCTGGTAGTAATAAAGATAATTTGGCATAAAAGTGTACTCACCTAACATCTGCCTTGAAAAATAACTGATTATCCATGCCTATTTCTACCCTAGCAACTGCTAAAACTCTGTGGGCTTCCTTTGTAAGCTCAGTTTTTCATTTACATGTTTTTCTGAAGCTTTTAAATTTAAAATAAAAGGGTGCATTGCAGAAGTTGCTGATGCAATTACTTCAGAGCTTCTGCTCCTTTATGTCAATATTCAGTGTGCATCTTGTGCATTGTTAGAACAAATAATAAAAGCTAGAATCAAAACTTTCTTGGTTTAAAAATGTTAAGAGGGTACAGATGGCTGTCTCATTGAGTTTCCATTGTACCAAAAGATAAAAAGCACATGTATAAATGCTGAAGAAGCAAAGGTGAGGAAATTGCTAATTGTAAAACTGAATCTGTTACAAATACATGATCATTGGACCAGATGATCTTGAAAGTCTTTTCCAACGTTAATGATTCTGTGTTAATGATTCTATGGTATCTTATATTATGAACCTTAACTGTATTTCATAGCAAACCAAAGTATGTAAGCTTGAATCCTTTTGAGATTTTGGGGGTTTTATTCAGTTGTTTGAGGTCTTAACAGTAATTGAGTCCTTAGCATCATCTTGCAGACTCAGGCCTGTGAAAGGTATTTGTCTTTTGAAATACTGTAAGCTATGGGGATATGTTTTATTTTTGTTGTGGGGACAAAGGAAAACAATGTGTGATCGAAAGGGAAGAGAAGAAGGAAAGGATTATTAGGCTTAATTATTCTTCTCTGTCAGTTGGGGAAGTGCATGAAACGTTTTTGAGGAAGAGTACTCTGAGTCATTCACATTAATGGTCCCTGTCAAAATTGGAACATATATACAGTTTGTTTTGCCTCACTTAAAGTTGTATTTTCCTCTAAATAGACAAGTCATTATCTTCACTATGAGACAAGTTAGCATTTATTCTTCCAGTTCACAGTTCACTTTGGTCAGTCTTGGTGGTGTGCAGTCTGCTATGGTTTCTATTACCATGATTTGGAATTTGAGTTTTGTATTTGAATTGACATAATTTTATTTTTTTTTTTAAATAACGATACTTGTAAAACTTAAGGAAGACTAGACAGTGGACTGAAGTAAAAATAGTGCTGGCTAAATTTTTGATATGTTCTGTCTACATGACATTGGACCAAGGTACTTAGCAGGCTGGAACTGAGGAAAAAGTACTAGGAAATTCATCCACTTCTCAACATGGTGGGAATAAAAGAAATTGCTGTACGTGCTGTACATGTTTTCTTTGATCACATTCTGATATGGTGGGGTTTGCACTTTGTTACATAGCATGATGTGGTTCTAGTACTTCTATTAAAATGTTTTAAACGAAAAACTCAGCGACCCTTCAAAACAAATAATAAACTGTAAATAATATGTCAGTAAATATTTGCTTTCCTTTGCAGCTATCTGTGGCATATTCCTCTCACCTACATGACTAATAGGTGCAACTTTACCCATTGTGTTAATGCATACTTACTGGACCAGAAGTCAGGTATGTGACTTAAAACTTTGGAAGCAAGTTACTTATGTGTTACAGCTTGCCGGTCTTTCTGAGCACACACTTACATAAGACGTGAAGATGAAGACACATAGTATAAAGTAATTGCAGAGATCTGGAGCCAGGTACTACTAGTAATGTCATTAGAGTGTTGAGTGCCCATAGCATTTTATGTACAAGTAAAAGGCAGCAACTGAGACAGAAGCAAATTTGCAGTTTGTTAAAGCCTGTACTTTTCTCATCACAGTGCATGCACAAAACATTTTGAACTGCATGTCCTCTGGAGAGTGAGTACTGTGACAGTTGCTCTGCCAATATACCGAAATGTAAGGAAGTCACTTTCCACTCATATATTACTTACTTTGTTTAAAGTTACAAGAAAGTATTCCACCTGGAACAGATTTTTTTCAGAGAACTACTGTACAACTTGAAACTCTTAGATCATTTCACATAAACCCTGCTTTTGCTGAAGTAGTGAGTTTGAATCCTAAATTGCTAGTCCATATAGCTTTTTTTGTTTTTAATTCAGTCCTGTTTTTCTCTATGCCAAGTGAATAGTTTCTATACAGTTTTATGTAGTACTGTGTAAAAATCGCTTTGGCCATCTCCTCGTTGGTTTCACTGACTGAATAGTTTCTCTCTCCTATTTAGGCTAGTCTGGCTCACTGTTTCACATCTGCTGATGTATTTCCTTCACTGAATTTACAATTCAGCGTATTTAACTTGCAGTTATATTTAACACATAAACCTATCTCCCACCTCTAATGTTCAAAATAAAACTGTAGAAAATCAAAATAAAATGCTTAGAGCTGATCCTGACATTTTTGCCATTTACTGATTTTACAAATTACTAGCCCTCCAACATGACGTTAGAAATACTATTATTAAAGAAAAAAATATATATGTATGTATATATTATTTTTTTTGTTATTCTGACATGTCTTTTACAAGACACTCATTTATTTATGGCCTTTGTAATTGGAGCTGGAGGTTTAGGAACCGTTCTTATGAATTATCAGAATGGAAAAATAAAACTGTTCAACAGAATGTGTTCTTGATCTTATTAGGTAAGCAGACTGATTACATCTTTTTGACCTTAAATGTCCATATGGGTCTTCCCATGTTCACCTTACTAATTCCTCATTGGCTGCAAATACTTGGATGTGTAGGATAAGAGAGTAGGAGAATAGTACAAAAGAGTTTGTGGTAGAATTTCACTAGATTTCAAAGGCATCACAAATGCTATGTACACTCACATTTTTGGCAGGAAGTATAGAACCAACTGAAATAAAGAATTTTGTTTTCTTTATCCCAAAAGTCCTTTTTTGTATCTAGCTGACTCTGAATCTAGAGTGTGTCCTTTCATCCAACTTTTTGACTATTTGTCTATTTATTTTTCTGATGTGTGTCACTGTTTATATGTATGTGTTAGTGTGCAGAGAGGAAACAGGGTTGTTTAAAAGCAAAACTCTCCTAACTAGTGAGGCCTGCAAAGGCCTATGAGTTATTAACTGGTTTACTTGTGCAATGTTAATAGACATGAGAGTGGATATGGATTCAGTATGAAAGCACCTCATAAATTTACTTACGATCAAGTCAAAATTTTTAGAACTTAACTTGTTCCTATCCTGTGCTATCTACCTTTTTAATTTGAAAGCATGCTTTCATTTGAGATAGCATAGCTTAGTCTTTCCTATCCTCTACTACTATGAGATCCCTCTTTTGCTTTGCTGTGAATAGTTCGGCTATATTGAATAAACCATAACATGCAAACACTTCATGTGACTAAGGTGGTAGCTTGTTCACTTCCTGAGTGGTCTTCTCTGATTGTTGCCTTGTTTTAAATATGAAAACCTAAGTGGGACAGATTTCTGCTGAAACTGTGCCAGCGAATGGGAAACAGTACTCTCATTCCCTTGGGTAAGTTAACTGTCACGGCAGAAAATTTGTTAAGTAGATAGCCAGCAGTGTCATTGACATAGTGCGAACTGTTTTCCAGTTAAAATGAAAAATCAACAAAAAATAGGGACAAAACCTGTGTGCCCTGGGCATTTTGTTGCTTTTTGTTTATATTTTTCTTTCCACATCTAAAATTAGGTTTACCAAATTAAGCTACTTAGTGTACATACTGGAGCTTCCACAACAGTATTCAGTGAGCTACGTTTGCCCTATAATTCTTCTTGGTGGTAGGATTATTGGTAGAATACAAAATAACTCACAAGCCCTGACTGTATAATAATAGTGCTCCCTTTGTTCACTGTCTTCTTGAGCCTGAGGTTTGATTTGGCATCTTGAAATAATTCTCTTGATCTCAAGAGTAGTAAGATGTGCCCAGCCTATCCTGTACAATCCCCGTGAGCGACAGATGTTCCCATTTCTGTTTCTGGGTAGGACAGGTTTACCTATTAAAACTGTTCACTGTGCTGTGACCACAAGGCATTATGTGCCCTCTTGTTTTTCCTTTGTTGTAGTTTAGAATGCACAGAGACAGCTGGGTTCAGACTATGATATTATTCATCCAGTCAGATGTAGCACTGAAGGAAGATGTACAGCCTAGTATTTTAAAGCTTTCACTCAGAACATTTTTGCTAGCTATTCCCTCTCATAGTAGGGGGAACTAGTGAGCCAGAAAAGACTTGTTAACTCTAGAGATCCACTTCACAGATCTGGATTTGAAAGAACAGGTGCTACACCTTTGTCTGCTACTAACTCCTTGTCTGTTTGTTAGCTGTCATTGAACTTCCAGAAGAGGTGGAATGGATAAAATTCAACGTGGACATGAATGGTTATTACATAGTACACTATGCGGAAGACTGGAAAACACTGATTGATCTGTTGAAAAAAAACCACACTGCTCTGAGTGCTAAAGACAGAGCCAATTTGATCAACAATATCTTCAACCTTGCAAGGTAAGGTTTTTATACTGGAAAACATATTTTATATGTTTAAGTGTTTTTCCAAGCCAGACAAGAATCAGACCTGGGTTCTTGTGAAGAGTGCTTCAGAGAAGTTTTAATTCAGACTTCATTAGCCTATTGAAACCGTTCACTAACTTAAAAAAAAAAAAAAACTTGAATTTTACTGATGAATCTATATTGGTGTTAGATGTTATCTCCCTGATTTTTTTTATAGCAGCATCTGTTTATTTACATCACATAGACGTATGATGTCTTCCATTGCTGGAAGACATTATTTTCTTTGGTGTCTTATAGTCTGCTTAGAAGGCTATCTTTCTGCATTCTGTTAATGAATATTTCATCTTAGAGAAGCAAGCTGTTTGCTTCTCTTTTTTATTTTTTTTTTTTTTACTGGCTCCTATATTGTCTTTCTCCATTAGCACTACAGCTGAATGTTTTGGGTGGCCTTTTAGACAGGTCTTTCCTATATCTGAATACCCTCTTTATGATAAATATTTTCTGAAATCAGTTATACCTCTTACCTATTTTCATTTTTGTTAATTGAAGATATGTCAGTGTCACTATCTTCTTGTTGATACTATATTGTAAAAACCTTGACATCAAAACCATTTCTTTTGAAATTCTTCCTCTATTTATCAATTTTTCTGCTAGTGTAATTAAGATTATTGTAACTTGCGTAAAGCAGGCAGCATCACTTAAACCATTTTAATGTTTGTGTTCATTGATAGTCTAGGAAAAGAATCTTTAGAAAATGCCTTTGAGCTGATCGATTACCTTAAGGAAGAGAGCAGTACTGCACCACTCACTCAAGCTTTGTTTCAGCTGAGTCGTATCTACAACCTTTTGGAGAAAAAGGGTGAGCAACAACTGGCAGCACGTGTGATGGTATGTACTATTTTTTTTTAAAACATGGTTTGAAATAATTTATCGTAATGTTGTTTACAGTTTAATTAGTGTTGACTGTTGAATGTATTGTTTGGTAATCTTATGAAAATGGACTGGATTCTAGACAATTCTTAGTGTTATATGCTTTTGTTAAATAGGAAAGATCTGCAATGCTGCATCTTGTGGACTGACTTTTTTTTTTTTGATGCTTTTTTAGGGAATGTAATGCAGTGCTAACACAGTGTTGTCTGGGGATTTACAGCAGTGGGTATAACGATCAATTCAATACAGAGTCTATGACACTTTCTAGTACAGAAATGTTACTTCCAAAAATCGTTAAAGTGGATGGAGATTATTGATCCAATTGCTTTACACAGACACAGTGGGGGAAAAAAAGGCAAAACTATCTTCTGTGAAAATAAAAATACACTAATGGTTGTCATTGTCCCATTTCAGATGTGTGTTAGACTAACATGATAAAGTGCTACAATCAAAACAGTATAGTCTCAGTTCTGGCTGTAGAAATGTCTTTCATTTGTCTGTCCTGCCTTGATATTTAGAAACCTTTTTTCTGTATTGATCCACAAGTTTAAAATAAACCTTGGAAACTTGAAAGAAACAAAAAAGCAACTCCTATATTTTCTTCTTATTCAGTATTTATTCAAGGATTTTACTAGTCATTACCTACTGTAAAATGCAGTCCAAGCTATAGTTTGCCTGCATTTTCTATTAAATTATAGTAGTTTATATTGAAGTGTCTCAGCTGAGATGTGGTAATCTTAGGGGCACCTTGTTTTTTTCAAGCTATAAAACTAGAAGGCATTCATGCTATAGATAACGCTTTGTCTGTGCTAAACTAAGGAATATTAACTGGTGTTCGATGGAGTTAAAAGCAGTTAAACAGACAGAACTTGTAGTTAGTTGAGATAATGGGCTGACTATGAGTTTGAACTGTTTATTTATTCATATAGATAATGAGGCAAAGCTAGTACGTTTAACTTCCACAGTTAAGTTTTATAACTTATAACTTTGTATGTGGAAAATTCTCTTGGGAAGAATTAGTTATTGCTAATAATTTTTCCTCCTTTAGTATAGAATAGATAATCTGCTTGGAAATAAAATTGACCAACAGCATTGGACAGATAATGGAACTTTGTCTGAACGAGAGCTCCGGTCAATACTGCTAGCTTTTGCCTGCACCCATGATATAAGACAATGTAGAACAGCTGCCACTGGGATGTTTGAGAAGTGGATGAAGTCTGAGGGAACAACGAGGTACCACAAAAATGGACTCCCACTGTTTTACCTACCTATTTTCCTGTTACTCTGCTATCTGAATATTGATAAAACTCTTCGTTCTCTCATTTACTGTTACTTGTCTAAAAGTAGTTGCAGTTTTAAGATGAGTGGGAAAAACTGTGCTAGATTTTAAGACTTTGTTCTGCAGTCTCCAATGTGACTGCAAAACCATCTAAAAATTGTTTTCATCTGTGTTTCTTAAGCTGCATACTAGAGGAAAATTACTTAGTAGCAGCATCAAAGTATACCTTTGTCTCTTGCAGAACTCACTCTTCTCTGGTTTTCTGTGCGTTTTGTGCCAGAGAAAATGACACTGATTTTTGTACCATTTGCTGTGCTTTCATATAACTAATATAATTTGCTTTTTCCCAGTGAGTTAAAATATTAGGAAGGCATGAATTTATGTGTCCAGCAAACTTGCAATTGCTACAGAAATAAATTGCAAAAAAGAGGCATCTCTTTCAAGCTAATCTTTCCATTTTGTAACTTTTCTTCCTTCTTTTCTCAGATGAACTTTTTTTTTGTCCCCCCTTTTTTGTTCTGTTGTTTTTTTTTTTAATTTTTTTTCCCTGTAGTCTGCCTGGTGATCTTATGAAAGCCATATTTATAACTGGAGCAAAAACTAATGAAGGCTGGGAATTCCTTCTAAAGATGTACTCCTCTTCAGTTTCTGAAGCAGAGAAAAGCAAAATGATTGAAGCCTTGGCCAGCACAGAAGATGTCAGAAAGCTGATCTGGTATGAAAGAGACAAAGATCTATATTGTGTAAATTAAATGTTTTTTCTTTTTATTTGTTGAAATGGAAAAAAAAATCTGAATACTAAAGAAAATCAAGCCAGATGTTTTGTACAGGCTTCCATAAACATGAAGAACCTGTTATTTTTCACTTGAAAATGTATATAATAGAGTAGGTCAAAAAGATGAACTCTGGCAAGGTGGAATATACGCAAAGAAAAAAAATGGACTTAAAAGCTTTGTGCTATTAGTGAAGAAAATTGCAGATTCTATGAGAATGGTGAAACAGGTTGCTTACTGAGTCTTCAGAGATTTACATCTTCATATCCAAGACAGCAAATGGTTGTGCATGTGTGTGCGTTGTTTTTTAATATTTCTTTCTTTCTTTGACCTTACATTATGCTCTTACACCTTTTTATAGACTAAATCGTAGTATTATATAGAGGACACCAAATATGTCCTATTATTCCTTCTTTTTTCTCTTAACTTACCAGTGAATTGTTTTATTTTACAAGTTGTGAAATTTTACTCCATCTTTTCCAGCAGCAATGAAAACTGAGGTACTTGTTTTAGAGCTAAGATCACTCTGTTCTTGGAAACTCAAGCTTAAATGAATACAGTGGTTATAAAATGTAGCATCCATGTGCTTTAGATGCCAGACGTTGATAGTTGTTTGATCTTCTACATAATCTTTTTTGTTTAATTTAGGGCTACCAGGAGAACTGTGTGAAAAAATGAATAAATAGGATTTTTTTTACTGTCACTTATCATCTGCTTTGTCTTTTAGGTTAATGCATAACAGCCTTGAGGGAGAAGTCATCAGGGCGCAGGAGCTTTCACATATCGTAGCAACTGTTAGCCAGAGTTTGCCTGGATATTTGTTGGCATGGGACTTTGTCAAAGAGAATTGGGAAAAACTTACAAGAAAGTAAGGCTTTTGATGTAGCTTTTCACACCCACATTGCCAAAAGGACTGCTATTACGAAGTGCAAGTGAATAAATACTTTGCTTCATATATGATGTTTAGTATAAAGCCTGTTTTAAAATTAGACTTTGCAAAAATAACTTGGACAATAAATTTTGAAATCTCACTTAACAGCTGATGGAACATTGAGGCCTCTTAGAACCTCAGTTATTCTAGAAAATCTTGATTTGGATTTTTGTTAAGACTGATAGCTCCAGCAGCCATCTTAGAGATACAGGATGTTTTGTGGATCAAATGCATTCAAAAGTAAAGCCAGGCATTTCATTCAGCATTCATTTATTCTACCTTTCTATGGTAATCCAAAAACCAAATAACAAAAAATCCACTTGCTTTAGAAATATGTTCTTCTTAACTGTTCTTGAAATTGCAGAGCTGGCCTACGAATCTTCAAAAACTGACAGTACTTAGAAAATGGTATTTCTAAATCCTAGTTGTGATTTGGAACAGTTTCACATTGTTAAAAATGCTTTTCCTGGATGAAAATTCCTGCTTGCTAAAGCAGGAGTAATTATTAATCAATGTTACAAAATTATTTGGCTTAAAATGATTTCTGGAGGCAAACTTGATTGCTTTGGAGTTGTTAAATCCATCCCACAAGTGTAGATGTTGTTGCTTGATGTGTGGTGTCCTCAGTTCTTTAGTGTTCTGGGCTGGGATAGAAGTTTGAAAATTTTCCTTGTCTTTGGCTCTGAAGTTCAGTTTTTGTAGGGGTTAGGCGTCTTGAGGCTTGGACTGCTAACACCTTGTATCTCTTCAAAAAAAAAAAAAAAAAAAAAAAGAAAAAAAGAAAAAAGAGAGAGGAAAGAGAGATGTAAGCTTGAATTTAGATGATTCTAATGATTTCCAAATACTGAAACAGAAGAAAAGTTAGAAATATGAATATGTGCATATACTGAACCTGCATGTTAAAATCACTCATAATTTTTTTCTTCTTTGTATTTCAGGTTTCATCTAGGGTCATATACTATCCAGAATCTCATTAGTTCATCAACCTATCAGTTTGCAACAAGGGCGCATCTACTTGAGGTTGGTGGCTTAATCAGTCAGAAAATCGTATTGTCTAGTGCCAATGCTGTCCTCCGTTATTTTGCGGTAGAGGAAAACAGTTATTCATAGTCACTAAGGCCCTTTTGAAAGCATATACAGCTATTTCTGTCCCTATGTCACACATGGGAAATATGTACATAAACATGTTGAAGATGACAGTCTGAATCAGCAGCAGAGCTGAATATACACAGTCAAGCACAGCTATCTGTTCATGTTGCTCTGGTTTCCTGTTCACTGGAACACTCCGTATCCCAAAATAGTGATAGCAAAATTTTGGTCTAGACCTTGTCAATAATCTGTGCTTTCTGCATCTGTGGAATGGCATGGAGAGCCATGAAGATTTGTTTTAGATTATTTTGTCTGTCAACAATCCCAAAGAGCTGTTGTGGAAGTTGAGTATAAGCTAAGATACAGTTACTAGCTGTTAGAAATTTGAGTCTTACCTCACAAGACCCTGAATGTATGGTGTCAAGAAAGGTTTATAGTTTAGTCTAATGCTTTCATTCAGAAAACTGGGTAGAGATGGCTTCTTATTGTATGAACAGTAGTATTTTAAGTGTAAGCATTGACAGTTAAAATGTTAAGTGGAAGTGGGGGGTCATTCAAGAGGACTGCAGTGGGTCACTAGTAACAATTAGTTCTTTTTCACACAAAAAACACCTCTCTTTCCAGAACTTACAGTGCTCTGTGAGTGCTCTGTAATTAATGTGATGAGTTACCAATATCTATCCAAACTATCTATATCCTATCTATACCAAAACTAATTTATTGAAACCAAAGGCGTTACTGCTGCTCTTCCCATTAAAGACGTTCTTGCATTTTGGAAAGCCAACTCTGGGAATTTTGTTTACTGCATAAATGTTTATGATTATCTGTTTCCAGCACATGTGTAGCCTTTGCTTCTGTACCTATTTGTGAGATCTGTGTTGTTTTTTATTAACACTTTATTTTTTCTTGTCATTCAGGTGAAGACATTTTTTGAATCCAAGTCAGAAGAGAGTTCTAAACTGCGTTGTGTAAAAGAGGCACTTGACACAATTCAGCTCAATATCCAGTGGATGGAGAGGAACTTAGCGAAGCTACAAAAATGGCTGTAGTGCACGTAAAACTATGGCGTGTCAGCCATTTAGGAAATCTGTGGACAGTTGCTCTGTTTCTTTTGCAAAAGCCAGGGTGAAACCAGGCATTGCTGCAACATTGTTTGCACTATTAGAGAGTCTAGATAGCTCAGGGCATGTCTCACATAAATTTTGATTTCCCTCGAAGCATTTATGAGCAGGATGTATTTATTCTGAAACTGTTTTCATCTATAGACCAAACATCTCCATAAATTATATTATATATTATGAAATTTAATACCCTTTCATTTGGTATCATGTTCTTGATTTTCATCAGTGCGTTGATATTGACAGCATAAAGAAAGTTGCCATGAACTGTTAGTTTTCTGCAGACTGCTAGGTAATTAGTAGGGCTTTGTTACTGCAAAAAATACAGGTAGTTTCCACATTCGTAGATAGAGAAGCTGTTGTGAAACAAAGTCATACATAAGTATTACAGGATCTCATAAAGTACAGCAGTTTGAGGAGAGGTAAATACGGTCTGGATTTGAATTCAGTTTGGACTTCTGATTTTTCACTGTGTTGTTTGGGAATTGCATGAAAAATAAGAATAATACGTCATGCTAGTCATACACCTTTTGATGTTTAAAGTGGCTGGGCACTAATAGTTTGCATGGAAAGGAGAAAGCCAGACAGCAAAAACAAATGTTTTAGAGATGGAATTTCCAAAAACGATGTGGCCTTGAAACTTTTACTCTGAATTTATTAGACATCTTTGAGAATTGTGTTGTTAAACATCGGAGTGTAACTGATGTTGCTGTATTGATCTGTGAGCAACTACACAACTGCCATGAGAAGTTGTTAACAGGCGGGTTTATCTGTTAGACTGACTACTGAATTGTCTACTTCTGACTACTGATTTTGAATTTCACCACTTGTTGCAGAGGTCCTGCAATAAGTCAGTGTATCAGCCACTTCATTTGGTTAAGTTTATGCTTTTTTTCCCTTGCCTGTTACCTTTGATATCACAGTATAATTTCTGTACCTTGCTTACTCAGTATAGCGTTAGAAAGCTTCTCATTTAGACTTTAATGGTTTGTTCTACTGTTATGAAAAACCTTGTGTGACAAGTCTTCATACGCTTTAAAAGAAGGGGATCTAAATCATCATACTTTTTTTTTTTTTCTTTAAAAAAAAAAAAAAGGGGGGGGGAATCTAAAAGCAGAGATGTGCCACATTAGAAAGCCAAAATACCAACTGTACAACCTTGTCTGTCAAAAGCAGTGAGAAAAGCCATTTCTGAGGCATAGCATGTACATAAAACACATGCAAGAGTAATCATACTTGTTTATGTGGTGATATGATGTTTTCAAATGTTCACTACTGTTACACCTTTTGTGGATTCACGCAAGCAGATTCAGACCTGTTGTCTTGTCAGCATCTAATATGTGATTCGATATGAAAACATTAAGGGTTAAAAGTTGAAAATTTTGAACAACACAAAGTTTTAATTTCAGTCAGAGCAAATTCTGAAGATAATAGTTTGAATGAGAGTTAAATTAGTGGACATAAAAATTTGTCAAAGGTAATTCAAACTGAAGGCTTTAATTGATGAAATCACAGCATTGGCTGCTCATTTAATTAGAAGAAATTGTAAGCTGTGATTGCTGAAGCCATGCCATACTTTTCCCGTCCTGACAGAATGGGAAATTATTGGAAAAGGAATTCCTCATGTTTTTACCAGTTCCCATTAAAAACTATGTCTGCAGTTCTAATCTTGAAATTGTTAGAAAGTGTGTTAGGTTATGAGCATGCACAAACATTTGTTTGCCCCAGAGGCTCAGAAAAGAGCAGTTTTCACAAGTACTGAAGAAGGAATGTAAACACTGAAAGTAGATCATACTGTCCTAATTCCATAAAAGTCATGCAATTAAAATGGTAATTAGTTATGTTCTCTGATTATTTTTTTTACAAACTTCCATGTCTTGTGGTATTATTTCTTAGTTTATTTTAAACCTTTATGCTCTCTGCAGAAATATGAATTCCATATTTGTATATTTGTGTGTATATATGTAGTTGTCATCTATTTTCCTTTACAGTCACTTCCTAATATTAAATGAGAAAACAGTAGTATGCTTTCACTTTTCTATCCCCTCACGTTTCTTTTTACTTCAGCCCTGACTGCAGTACTGAGGTATATAAAATTTCAAAAGGAAACTCCGGAGGAAGATCCCATCTTCCTCCTGATTTCTGCTGTAGGATTATAGATTTTATTCAGATGCTTTACTGATAATTAGCTCTTAGCAAGGAAATAGCATGCAGCTGAGTTTTAGGCTGCAAACTGTACCAAGACCATCTGGAAAGTCAGGGGAGGGAAAGGTTTATAAATATTTTTTATTTCACCTTTTGCTGCATTTGACGGCTTTTTTTTTTTTTTTTTTTTCTAATAGGTAATAATTTCAGTGTATCCATTGTAGAGGTTTTTAAATTATTTTTTCTGTCATGGAGTCTATAACCTTAATAAAACTGTGCTGGAGTCCTCCTTCCAAGGGAAATGCTTAAATATACTTCTCTGTTATTGAGATTATTGGGAACTGATGAAGGTTGGAATGGTTAAGGCATGAGCAATGAACTGCCCTTTAGAGCCACATCTGTCATGCCTTACTGCAAAGGAATGAAATCTTGCTAGTTCCTTGAGTTTTCTTTGGCTTCTGGTCAAATGAAAAACATATTGTAGCCAAAAGGACCTCTTCACTTAATTTCCATAGTATTTTTTAGCTAAAACTTACTGAGCTAATATTTTTTATATATCTTAGGCCATTCTTATTTTACAGCAGAAGAGCTTTGCAGTGAAAAGCTGTGAGTTCAAATGCTACTAGCTTTGTATCATCTCCTGCAATGTAAAATTATAGTGTTTAATAAATTGGAACTATAGTATATGTTCAGATGGGCTACATCAATTACTGTCTTCAAAGCCATTATGCACTGATTGTCTTGTTTCTTTCCAGTATCCTCTGTTTATAATGAACGCACTTGTAATTTTAAGAGCTAATTGTGGTGAAAAGCAAATATGCATGTATGTATATTTTACTGCTATAAATGAATCAAAAATAAATACTTTTCCTATGTAAAATTAGCCTACCAGGAAAAGTGTAAGCAAGCAGTTGAGCTCTTAACGTTGTCCCTGGAAAAAGGATTGCTTCCTCTGCCAGTTCAGCTTTTATTTTTATTTAGAGATGGAAAAAGTGCAAGCAGAAAAGTATGAGATTTCTTCTAATGTGTGAAAAGACGGTAACATATGGAATGAAGGTGTTTAAAATAAGTTTAATTTTTCTGTGTAACCAGTCGTAGAGATAGATGGTCATTGTGCCTTATGGCTTATTATCGAAGTGATATGCTAGACAGTATGTTAGAATAAACATCCTGTTTTCCTGCAGGAGCTGACTGAGGTCTTGTTCTTAGAGGTTGTTGAGACTTGTCTCTCTGAGCGTTATTCAGTGCTGCTAATGGGAAAGCAGACTGCAATTGCTGAGGGTTCGTTGTTGTTACACAGATTGTTTCACGGGTAACTGAAGTTTGTCAGAGGGAGTACACTGAGCAGTGTTGGCTTTTGTTGCATCCTATAAATACGATATTAAATTGTACTTCAGCGTATAAATTTTCCAGCTATGGAACTACTACATACGTAAACTTTGGTAAAATAACGTTGCATCTCCTCCTGAGTACTGTATTGCTGTCAAGCTCGTTCTGTTGTAAACTAATCCTTCTAGAAGAAACTAAAACTTTCTTCTTGTCCACTCCTATATGGAAATCACTCACTTGCTGGAGAGCCAGCTTGTTTAGACTGGAATTTCTGCATTAATTATCAGACTTGGCACTCAGAAGGTGTAGAAAGATACTGTCTACCATAGGAAAGGAGAACTTTTCAGATCTTGAGGTATTTGAGACACATAATTCTGAACATACATTGTAGAAATGATCTATGAAGAACCTAATGCCTAATAATTCCTCCCTAATCATGGGGGGAATAATTTTCTTTTGTTGGCTAACAGATGTAGGAAGTGTAACTTGAATCTGTATCTTTTACATGTTCTCCCTTTGGTGGAACATTCCATATTCTGACAGGTTGTACCATCCTTCCTTTGCTTTGCTGGAAGATATCCTTCTTTGCACTCTGAAATTTAAATTAATGCTCAGTAACCATTCTTATTTGTATGCACTTGTTGCATTCAGTCACGTACATTTTAGCTTTTCCACATAATCCATGCATCATGTAGTACATTCAGTTCTCGACATGCTAAATGTTTATTTTTTGACATTTTGACAAGTGCATACATAAGCTTATTTTTAATAGTTATATTTATACCTATCACTTTCATCACGATGCTACTAAATGTTCAAAGATTTCTGTTACTTTTTTATGTCGTGGAGTCACATGATTTCTAGGGGGAAAAAAAGTACATTTACCATATTAAACTCTCAGGTCATATTGCTAAAGAATTTAAATCTCTAATTTTGCTGTGTTATTTAAACCTGCTGTTGTACTAGATGTATTGACTTTTATATGTGACAATTTAACTTTGTTTGATGCAGAATAGGAGACGGGCATCTTTTTCGAATTAGTGATGGTGGCATTAAACAAATCACAATACAATCTTAAGTATATAGTTTTATAAAAAAAAAAAATATAGTGGCTTGAATGGATTGAAACACAGTAATTCGAATTGAATTTGTAAAAATGAAGTACAGATTTTCCATTCCAAGAATTGAAGACTGGAGGGGTTTGAATATATAGTGTAAAACAAATTTTTGCAGTGAGAACTGAGCCCTGTCTTCATTTAGTCAAGGTTAAGTTAGGTATCCCTGAAAAATACCTTATAAGTTAATTTGGAAATGCTGTATACTGTAGGTACTTGTAATGGGTTAGTCTTTGTATTTTAAACACTGTAAAAATATATAAGACAATGTAAATTCACAGGTGTCTGAACTGTGAGTGGTAACATTTCAGGTTGTAAAATACCTGCCTTCAGATGGGGATTTGAATATTGTGTGCGTGTGTGTGTGCGTGTGTATGTATAGATAGACATAAAATATGCAAAGTTGTCTGTTTCATTTGTAAAGGGAAGAGAAGCTTATTTTCTTTATATTTCAGAGAAATGTTTTTGCATATTACCAGCACTGATTTGAAAGGCATGTGTACTGCAAACACTATTGCTTTTTGTGAGGTGGAAATAAAGTATTTCAATATAAGCTTTTCTTTGTGGTATTTTTTAAAAACATCATAAACAAGTTTGTTTGAAAGTTTGTAACACCTTTAAAAAAAATCAAACTCTGCACTTCACTATTTCATCTGCAGCAGAATTTTATGGGTAAATTCCATCCACCAAAATCTCACCAGTATCTAATTACAATTAAAAGGTAAAAGCCATTTTTGGATTTCTTTCTTATCTTAACCAAAGACAATAATACTAAAAGATTGTCATATGAACTTGAATTGCTTGAACAGTAGAGTACTTCGACAGTTCACAGATTCTCAGCGTTAGAGCTCGCACTCCTTGATCTCAAGGTAGGTCTTAGCGCTTGTGTTTAAAATGGTTTAAGCAAAGGTTGGGATACGTGGAATCCTAGGAGAGCAGCAGAAAGAAATGGGAAAAAGCAAAAAAGAAAAAATGCTGACATCTCCAAACTGAGGGCGGAGGCCTGGTGGAGCAGCTGGGACTGGAAGTATGTACTGCCAGTTTTCCCAGGAGGCCGTAAAGAGCAGAGAAAGTTCTTTGTCAGGTATAGGACAGAGGAAAGTTCGTGCAATTCCATGTGCTCTAGAGGATGTGAAAAATTTCATGGGCCTCTGATCAGGGAAAAAAAAAAAAAAAAAAAAAAAGCTGTAGTGAACTGAGAAAATCAAGGGAGAGATTGGGAACTGAAACATGTGGCAGGCTAAAGGTATAATTAAGGTTTGAGAAACATATTTTGGGTAGGATGGTATAATCTCTGCATATTGATGTGTTTATGATGCTGGATAGGAGATAGAATAACACACAAAAATATAATGTAACCTGAGAAAGTACATAAAAAATAAAATGAAAGTGGGAAGTTGTTTTAGCTGTTTTCTCTATTCACATGAAAATGCATTCTTTGAAGCATAATAATATGCTTTGGATGAAGATTTGCACCCAGTGCAACTGATAGAAAGGGACACAATTTCATCCCCCTGTGCTGATGGCGGGGGGAGGCTTGGTTCAGGCACTGACTGACACAGGGACCTGAGACTTCCTCCTCCTCATGAAGTAAGTTCTATTCTGACTCATTGTAGGGACTCGTAAATAGTGTTAACTTTGTACATTAATTTATTGCTTTTCCACATTCAAACACACTGTTCAGATGGAAAGGAGTTCTATTTAAAGAAGGATTTCTGTCCTAGAAGACAGTAGGTTTTCAAGTTCCTGTCATTAATAATGAGTGAGCAGTACCCTAGCAAAAGCAATTTATACTCTGGCTGCAGAGATCTGTACTCCGATGTTCTTTAAATCAGCTGTTGGCAATAACCTGGGTGGGGTGGATGGGCCTTGGCAGGCCACCAGGTGCCCACCCGGCTGCTCTCAATCCCACTCCTCAGCAGGACAGAGGGAGAAGATAAGGCAGAAATGTTTCTGGAGCAAGGTAAGAGATACGGAGTTTGTATCTGGTAAGCAAAAGATACACAAATTAGGGAGAGTATTGCCAGTGAAAAATTTGAGTAGGGTGGTAAGAAACAAAACTAACACCTTCCTCCGCTACTCATCATCCCAGGCCCAGCTTTACTTCTAATGTTTCTACCTCCTCTGCCACCTAGTGTAAGGTGATGGAGGATGGTGGTTGGGTCCCTGTCACTTCATCTCTGCTGCTCCTTCCTGCTCATACTCTTTTACTCCAGCATGGGTTTCTCCTATGGGATGCCATTCTTTGTGCTCTACTGTGGACATTTCCAATGGGCTGCAGTCCATCAGGAACAGAGTGCTCCTGTACTGCTGCGGGGGCTCTCCATGGGCCGCAGCCTCCTCCAGGCCACATCCACCTGTTATAAATGGCTCAGGATTCAAATTAGGATTAAATAAAAAAATAGGATTTATTAGAAGAATATAAAGGAATAGAGGTAAGCAAACAGTGCTGGGTGCACCGGGAGTCTCCGCTCCACCAGGACGCACACCAGTTACATCAAGCAGCTGATTTTTATGCTCCTAGACTAATACATATTCATTACTACTTCTAAAAAAAAATAGATTATTATAATTAGCTTCCGGGGTCCAGTCCCTCCTACTGGAGCATGCGCATCAGTCTCCTCTGGGGGTCTCTAGGGGTCTTTCATGCTGAAGGCTCGTAGTCTTCCTCTCACCCTTTGTACTTACTTGGCACTATTCCAAGTTTATGGAACACTCTCTGTACACTCTCCACAGGTCTTGTCTCCCAACCGTCCTTCAGCTTCTTTTTTCTTCCTCTTAATCTCTTGGCCCCCCCGGCCAGATACCAAGGATCCACATAGTATCTCATAACAGTCACCAGAGTCACCAGTTATTATCAGTTGTTCTGAAACTCCCAAACAGGTTGACGACTCACGAGCAATTAAAACATTCTTTCCCAGCTATTCACAGTCATCTACATAACATCTATAGCAGTGTTAAATCAATCTCGAAGAAGACAGAAAAAAACTGTAACTGTTAGAACTAGAAGTCAGGAATAACAAAAGCAAACAGGTTCATAAATTTAAGGAGTATTTTCTGAAGACTTGATAAATTGACTAGAATGAGGGGGAGACTGGGACACACTGCATCTGTGGTTCAAGAACTAAATTGCCAGTGCAGGGCCCAGAGGCAGACACGATTCAAACAGAATTATTCTTTATGGACACAAATTTATAGACACGAATTTATGGACACGAATTGGAATTGTTAAAACATTCCTCACACACCTGCTCCAGCGGGGGCTCCTCCACCCATGGGGGGGCTGCAGCGTGGAGATCTGCTCCATGGGGGACCCATGGGCTGCAGGGGGACAGCCTGCTCCACCAGGGGCCTCTCCCTGCGCAGCCCGCAGGGGAACTGCTGCTGCCTGCCTGCCTGCAGCACCTCCTGCCCTCCTGCGGCCCTTCTCTTGGGAGCTGCAGGGCTGCTTCTCTCACGCTTTCACAATCCTCTCTCTCTCGGCTGCTGTTGCACAGCAGTATTTTCCCCCCTTCCTTAAATCTGCTCCCCCGAAGCCCACCCAGCAGCACTCCCTGCCTCGGCTCTGGCCAGCAGCAGCTCCTTTTTGGAGCCATCTGGAGCTGGCTCTGCTCTGATGCTGACAAGATGGGGCTGCATTCATTTCCAAACTGGCTGTCCTAAAGGCCTTCACCTTTGCATTACATTGAGGCAGCGGTGATCTCAGCCTTGTTGTAGTTCTCTGCATAATGTAGCTCCCAAAAGAGATCCCAAGGTCCAGAACAGACATGGAAATAACTGGGGGGTTGTAAGGAAAACAATTGTATTCCATCCTACAGCAACACCAGAGCTGTCTGGAGAGTTTAGGAGTCATCTGAATTTTGTTATTTGTGTTTGATCTGAACTCAGGAAGAAAGGACCAGTTACTAGAAAAGAATGCATGCCTGACAATGATACAACCAGATGGGAGGCTGCTTGATCTGGGTCTGTGGGTTTTGGATCTGTATGCTGTTGAGGAGATTGTTGGAATTCTGATTACAGAATCAAGAACCTCCAGAAAGTGCAGGACGCCAGTGCTGGATGGAGAGCACGGCTCACACTTTGACGCTTCCTGGGACTGCCTAGCACATTAACAGGTCTCGGCCCCAAATGGCTGTGCTTCAAAAAGGTTGCCCTCTCTCAAGCATTTGCTGCTCTGCACTTCCTTTTCTTTCACTGGAGACTCAGATCAATTGGTTGCTTTGCACTTGGCCATGTTCCTTGGAAAGCTGCTTAAACTCTCTTCAAACCCTGGACTACCTGGGAATTGATTGCTTCCTCTAACTGGCACTGATGCTGTAGCTGGATCCCTCAAAATCCCATTTGACTGCTTCTGCTTCCTGAGCAGGTGACAGAAACTTTCACAACCAGAGAGCAGAGAAGAAGGAGTTGGAGTTCTGCATAGGGGAAATATTTGGAAGTTTTGAAGATGTTTCCCCTGCTCAGCTGCCAACCCTACGTTAACCAATCACCTGATCTTTTGCATTCCAGTGTGAGGAAGGTTTTAGCAATTCGTGTCAATAGAGAGCTTGAAGGGAAATGCGTTCCTTTCATACATTGTAAACTTTGATTCTTGCCCTATTTGGAAGACTGAGCCATTTATGACACCAGCAAAAGTCTCAAATCAGTTAGGAAGGAAAGTTAGTTCTGAAAATACTCAGTCACCTCTGTGCATGCCAAACCCTTAATGGCACTGTGCAAAACGCAGATTGCAGTGATGAATCGCGTTGTGGAATGAATGGCAACATACAGATTTGGCTCCAGATCCAAAATGTCACTTCTTTGGCCATTTTATTTAGGGTAGCACACCCCTCCCCTCCCATTCCCTCCCTGGCCCATTCCTTACTTCCCACCATACCCACCCCCTCCCTCCCCTCCCCTCCTCTCCCCTAAAATCCCCTCCCCTAAAATCCCCTCCCCTAAAATCCCCTCCCCTCCCCAAAACTCCCCTCCCCTAAACTCCCCTAAACTCCCCTCCCCTCCCTTAAACTCCCCTACACTCCCCTAAACTCCCCTCCCCTCCACTCCCCTCCACTCCACTCCACTCCCCTATGCTCCTCTACACTTCCCTCCTCTGCAATCCCCTCCCTACACTATCCTCCGCTACACTCCCCTCCCCTACACTCCCCTAAACTCCCCTCCCCTAAACTCCCCTCCCCTCCCCTAAACTCCCCTCCCCTACATTCCCCTACACTACACTCCCCCAAACCCCCCTACACTACACTCCCCTGCACTCCCCTCCTCTATGCTCATCTCCCCTGCACTCCCCTCCCCTGCACTCCCCTCCCTACACTATCCTCCCCTACACTCCCCTCCCCTACACTCCCCTACACTCCCCTCACTATCCTACACTATCCCAACACTATCCTACACTAGCCTACTCTCCCCTACAATGCCCTACATGCCCCTGCCCTGCCCTCCCCTCCCTCCCCTTCCCTCCCCTTCCCTCCCCTTCCCTCCCCTTCCCTCCCTTCTTGTCCTTTTCTTTCCCCCTCTTCTCTTCTCTTCTCCCCTCTTCTTCTCCCCTCTTCTCCT